CTCTTTCTTGTTATTGCTGCATGTTGGTACCGCTCCCAGTGACTGATTGCTCACCAGTGGAAATTTTATCATGTCAGTTTTGCACCTGTGTCTACAAGACATTTCCCCCTCTTATAACCCCCTCCCCCCGGTAATCACTTACCTATATAATCAAAGCAGACTCAGGAAATAATCCCCTTGCATTTGATGAGACATTCGCATATGGAGTGTCTGCTTAAGGCAAGTTACTGGAGGGCTGTGGGCACCAATGAAACCGTAAAACAGAAGACAGAAGAGAAGCCATCTATCTGATTGAGACTCAGTTCCCAGCCTCCAATGAATTTCAGTTGCAGTTGCTCAGGGGGAGAGGTATTCCCAAATGTCCCCACTTGTGTGAAGGGAAAACGGGATTTTTAAATGTAAAGGCTTTGGCTGCATAATGAATGTCATAAAGGTGTCAGCACTGCCGCTGTGTCACGTATTGTGAACTGCTGGCCCAGTATCAAATCAGCACAAATCACAGACACAGGGAAGATACAAAGACAAGTTGGCAGCCAGACTAGACACCTCGGTGTTAGGAATACGTGAGCTGGGGCAACATTAGGGTTCGGATGACTGTGTGGGTAAATTTGCTGCACCAAGAAGAAGTGAACGCATGGACAAGTAAGATTTTCCAGGTCTATCCCTTGGTTTGTTTGATCACAGTTTAGTTACAGTAGAATTATTCTTTAAATCATTGATTATCCTTTGGGATACCTTAAGAAAAAATATCTCCACTTCAGTTCACTTTTGTATGATTTCAGTGGGTAAGAACTTATCTGGACATTCAGCAGGGAATGGATTAGACTTCATTGTGAGTCTCCCTTCCTCCCCAGTAGTCTATTACCAGCCACAGATGGAGTGATTGCTTAAGCCAAGTTATTGGAGGGCTGCCGGCTCCCATGAAACCGTAAACCAGCATGAGTCACCGCCTCAGAAGAGGGAAACGTTATGTCAAGCTGAAGTCGAGCAAATTTCTACAATGGCTTCACATTCACTGGGCCTCATTTCAGTTGTAACCTTTAACATTGGTGAACAGCAGCTGGCTTTCATCAGCTGTCAAGGAATCTGGCTTTAAAACGTGAAAGATGATGTGTTGAGCTAGCAAACTAGTTAGCATTTGGATTTCTCTGCAAGAATGCCGCAAAATCACTTAAGCACACTTCAGTTCTGTGAAATATTTGACCATTTTTTAATATGAAAAGCAGCCTCAGATTCAAAGTGTCCCTGCTTGGACAGTTTCCAAAAGCACTGATATTTTCCATACTTTATTTAAACAGATATCCTCTCAAAAATATACCCGGTATATATGCATACATACACACAAAGACATACACATATATATGTATACACACAAATGGTAATTTTAATTTAGCCATTTAGCCAAAGATTAAAGCCCCTTTTTTGGTTTCTTTAGAACGCCAAGTTCAGCATTTTCTGACAGCACAACTGAAATTCTTCAAGCAGGTCATGCATAGTTGTAGAAACGATTAATGATCTGAATTAAACCCGTAAAGGCACAAAAGCTGTGCACACACAGTCTGAACCTTATTATTGCTAAACCTAGACCTTAAAAGTTCTTCTAAACAAGGGTGGTGCACTTGGTGTATTGTCAGAGGTCGAGTAACAATGTGCACTGATACCAAGAGGCTTTTTTTTAAGAACAGCAATCCTCAGACTAAAATCCTTTTGAAAATTTTAAACTAAAACCTTGCAGAAATGAACCCTTCAGGCATGGAGATTTCAGTGCAAGGGAGATATCTGAAAACTTGGTTCAAAAGATGTTTAAAAAAAAACAGAAACAACAAGCCTGCAACAAACTTTGCAGTTCTTAAAAATTTTCTTTCCTTTCTCTTGGAGTTCAAGATCAACAACAAAATGACATTTATAGAGCGCCTTTCACGTCGGGAGGACGTCCCAAAGCACTGAACATCAGATGTCGGGGCCCGAGCATGGGGGAGGGGTGGAGTAGGGGTGGAGGAAGATGGAGAGGTGGGAGGGAGACCAAAGGCACGGTCGAAGAGAAGAGTCTTGAGACCGGCCTTGAAGGAGGCAAGGGAGGAAGCGAGGCGAAGGGACCGTGGGATGGAGTTCCTGAGTGTGGGGGCAGAGAGGCTGAAAGCCCGGCCACCGATGATAGATCCTTGTCCTAACTTTCAAATCTCTCCATGGTCTTACTCGAATCCTATCTCTACGGCCTTCTCAAACTGTACAAACTCATCCTCTTCCTCTGCTTAAGGGGGACTACCACCTCCCTGGTCTTCTTTCTCCCCTTGACCCCCACATGACTCTGCTCCCCTCTCAGCTTGGGTGCAAACCTGCATGACCAGCGCCTTGCAATATTCTTCTGTGTGAAATAATAATCCTTGCATTTGATATAGCGCTTTTCACATCTTCTCAACGTCTCTGAAGCGCTTCACAGAATAGACTGTAAAGTGAATTGACCGTATATTTATGGGCGAAACCCGGCAGCCAATTGCACACAGCAATGTCCCACACACAACAATCATGCATTGAAAATGACCAATTTATTATTTTTTTGATTTGGAGGGATTATTATTAAGGTGCTGTTGTTCCCACCCTTAGTCCAAATTCCCTCCTATCCAGTATTCATTGTATCCAGCTACTAAGGTAATTGTGCATGGTGAACACAATTTGATCTCTAATTTCCCCCTTATAGTCATATGCATGTGTGAGGGAATTTAAGATTGCCACATCTCGCTCGAATATCTGTACAACTTCACAGATCTGTGGGCATCGTAAACTAGTCACATACACCACAGGCAGATATATACACCTCCCTTGAAGTTTTAAGTGAGTATTCAAGTGTTCAAACTTGGTCAACTTTGGAAAAAGCTGACCTAGTTGATCAAAAAGATGGATTCAAACCAAAAATCCTTTTAATGCTCCTAAGGCCCACGGTTAATAATCATGTAAATGAGAGTAAATATTAGGTTTGTTTTTTCCTTACAAAAAAAAGCACACAGATGGTCAGATCTGACTAACCATCATTACAAGAAAAAAAATCAATTAGGGATAACAGGGCAGAAAGGCATAGATGTACAGATTGTAAACTACACTGGGAGTATTTCTCTGGGGGTGGGGGAGAAAATGAACAACATGACCATACCAGTTTCATAGATTTATTTGTTTAATTAACCCATAGCATCTCAAAAGACACAACCACAATTCACCCTCAAAGATCCATTGTTTGTTGATGGATTAATACACATGCCTCTGTTTATCTTGCAGTAAGTTGGAACTTGGGTGTGAGTCGATTGCCGGATTGCTTTTCGGGGGGTAATAATGCCTTCAAAAAAAAATTTGGTCCCTCAATCCACGACTGTTTGTGGGATACTGCTGTGCGCAATCTCTTCTGCGTTTTGCCCACAAAATACAGTCAATCCACTTTACAGTATATTCTGTGAAGCACTTTGAGACGTCTCAACATGAGGTGTAATATCAAGTGCAAGGATTATTATATATTGTTATTATCATCACCCAGATGGTTTCAGGTCACTTTCTACATTTAGGTGGCATAACTGCAGAAACAATGCAACACTCAATCCACTTTACAGTATATTCTGTAAAGCATTTTGAGACATCTCAACAACATGGTAAGGTGTTATATCAAATGCAAGGACTATTATATATTATTATCATATTATTTTTGAGGGTGAACTGTGGTCATCTCTTTTGGGTTAATTAAACAAATAATTCAGGTCACTTTACACATTTAGGTGGCATAACTACAGAAACAGTGGCAAGTAGATGCATCGAGGACCAGCAAAAGGATTGACAGCTCAAATCTATCGCTAGGTGTCATAGAATATACAAGGTATAAGTCACACATTGATAGCTGTAAGGCACTCTGCTTCTGAAACTAGACCTTTCACATTGTAGATATGAGCGTGAAAATCCAAGCCTATTCCATACTGAAGTGCAGTTGTTGAACATTGAACCAAAATCCGTGGCACACAAGAGAAATGCAATAAAAAAGTTTTTAAATGTTAATGTGAAAACATGCGCATTAGGGTCTCGTAGCACTATAAAAATTAATGTGGGAAACACATTTTGTACTTTTCAAACATTTAGTTCCAATTATATGGCTAAAAGGCTTTAAAGAAAATCAGGATACACAAGGGCATTATGAAATGTATTTAAAGAGTGCTTTGCTTAAGATAAACAAGCCTGAAATGGCACTTGGTGATTGACTAATCAGTTAGTCATATTCCCATGTTACATATCGTTAACCCTATTGTAAAAGCTGTTTTTTTCTTCCCAAATAAGGAATTGAGGTTTTCAGAGCAAGTATTTTCTTCTCCTGGATTCCTATGGACAGTTTCTAAATAAGAGTGCGTAACTTGCTCTGATATTTGCAGATACCTCCTCGGTTAAACACTATGAAGCGCTACCCCTCGCGAAGGGAGCTATATAATTGTGAATTGTTGTACTTCATCAACTACCTACTCTGTGTGTTCAGGATTTACACCCTACTAGTGGTTATGACCCAGCCATATGGTTGGAGCAATAACCCTTGTGAAAAAATCATGGACATAGAAGCAGGTCCTGACCTCTTCAGTACAATCTTCAAATTTACCAGAAACATTCTGCCTGCAAATAGTCACTTCACCATGAAAAGGTAGCAATAAAAACTTTTTTTTAAAATGACACTGAAAGACCACTTCAGTCATCTGTGTGTCACACGATTCCACAGATAAGAGACCACAAATGTAACACTCCAGGATTTGCCAATGATTTCAGTTACTGGCCAGTGCACATGTAACTGGAGATTTGCTTCATTTTTTTTTAAAAATCAGAGGAGATGCCGGTCTTTCGTTGGTGCCTTTTCCACCCTCCACTTCTAGCTGGTGGAATCCAGTGTGGGGAGAAATCAAACTCGTAGATGCAATGGAGGTTTAACATTGCATTTCTCAGGGGCTGAATGAAACCTTTCTTGGTGCACAGATGAATACATTCCATTTAAGTTGATAGAGGTGAACAATTTTATTCTTTTATTAAGAGTTACAAGTATCTATTTAACTTGTCAAATATAGAAACCTGAAAGCATTTGTATTTGCTATCCAAAATTACTTTGGAAAGCAGCTGAAGTGGGAATAGACCAACAATTATAGAAGATTTGCTACTATCCAAACAATTTGGCAATGGAATAGTTAGCAATTGCAGCAACCTCTAAAAAAAGATCCACCACTTCATTGCATCTCTGCAGCCAACAAAGCCAATCCAGTTTACAGGATTTTGTTCAATTTCCAGGATTGCAATTACATTTCAGGATTTGACCATTGACCATCTGGTTTGTAAATAACTTGCCTTAAGTTTCCAATTGGGATTTTTGATATCAGAGAACCAAGTAAATAATGGAACAGTGCAACTTTTTCCTCTTCGATGCTGCTTATAAATCCAGGCCAAGCCCAACATGAACTATAAACATATTTAATGCTAGAATAACTTCTTATAGCTACATTGAAATGCCCCTCCATAATTGTAAAATCTCCACGATAGCAAGGAAGTCAATTCCACAAGACCAGATGAAAATAGTTATTTTACACCCGAATCATTTGTTACAATAACCAGTGCTAACATGAACGTTAGTCTGAGTTGCAACAAGACCAGCCCAAATATCAGTCAGTTTTGCGCTACAAAAATGCAGTTGTGATAATGCGATAGCAGAGAGAACTGTATTAAAAAGTTAGTGTGTGAACATTATTTCTCTGTGGGCATCAGAACTAAATTAACATGATGCCATTACACTTTAATAATAATAAACCTTGCATTTGATATGGCATCTTATCACGTCTTTGAGACGTCTCAAAGCACTTCACAGAATTTACTGTAAAGTGAATTGACTGGATATTTTGTGGGCAAAACAAAAAAGGGGGAAATCAGAACTAATCTACTTTATTTTATTCCTTACGCCTTTAAGAGAAAAAAAGGATAATAAGTTGTTGCGGTCTTTTGTGCTATTGTAGGATCATTTAAATGCTGATTTTCGTTAAAGCTAATGATTTCATCCCATACGTGCCAGTGATCAGTTTGTGCACTAACATCCTAGAGCACAAATCAGGAAATCCCCAGTCAATGTGATCCACAATAGTCCTAACAATCCTCTTAATCTTTCAAGTGCTATTATTCCTGCAAAATAGACATATGGGAGCCAGAGGAGTTACCAGTTCTCTATCACAACAGCATCCACTGACTTTACCCAAAGCATTTCAGAAAACACTAGGATCAGGCTGGTAGTGGAAATGTTAGCACAAAACAGGTGGATAGTGTATGATAAGAACAAATCATTCTGGTAGGATAGCTCGAAACAGCAACATGAGTCACTGACGAAAAGCAAATGGATTCAATCAAGATTTGTGACAGCCCCAAACACATTTCCCACAATAGATTTAAATATTGCTCAGCCAGGTAGTCTTAAATACAGGTTTAATTACAATCTTGAATAGCTACAGACATTTATGAATATTTCCATTATAGTTTGGTTTTATAATAGACTAGATGTAAATGTACAAAATTTGGTCTGGCTTATTTAAATAAAGTCTGGAAGTCACCATTTGATCGTCAGGAGGCACTTGCGTAAGACAAAGCTAGAGCATTTTTCCTTTCTTTAATCCAAGCTTTTATGAAATAACAAGCAGTAGAAACAAGCTGAATTTGTGCACAATAGATACAGGCACACCTATTCCTGCTACTAAAGTTCCGGTTGAGCAGCTCATTGTGCAACAGTTTGGCTGCAGGTGACATGTCGGTCTTCACCAGGTCAAATACCAGCGCTCAGAGGAAGCCGGGCCAAGTTCAGCATGGGCACTAATTGTTCAATGCATCAAGGCAGCATTGTAACATCTGGGCTTTGTTCTGAAAGGTAAAGGAATGAACTAGATTAATGTGACATTTTATAACACCAGCCACAACATTCACCCAAACTGAACCTGCTTTGATGAGACCCGACACTTCACGTTCGGCAAACAAAGTGCAACATCGCCCTCTGGCGTGCAGTGTAAATATAATCCACGACAATATAGTTTTCATCAGCAACTATTAGCAGAAGAGAACCATGAGCACCATTTTATCTATATGCCACATCTCTATCCTCCACCTCAAAATCACTGTGTACACACACCACTTATAATAGTTCAGGCAGTTTTGAAAGGAACCGAACATACCACTTGATTTACAGAACACCCCGTGACATACGCTTACTCACTTTGGCATGTTTTAGCTCCAGCTCAGTCATTTCAACCAGATTTTTACGGAATGCTGCCACTCGTCTGTCCTTGAAAGCAGTTAGCTCTGAATTGAGGGAGGAGCAACAGGGGAGGAAATAAAAGAAAAAAATAAACATGTAAAGCTAAATCAAACAATGTCGATGGGGGGGAGGAAATCAGACAATTACACAGTTGCTGCATTTCACAGGAATTCCCTCAAGTTCGATGTTAAAGGCTATTAAATGCTATTGGTGGGCACCTCAGCTCCACTGTTGTGCTAGTAACATTACTACTTGATAGTTCCATGACATTTCACAAGCTACTTGTTATTGCAATAACTTTTAACATGATAAAAATCCCCTACTTAATTAACCCTATACCAAATGTAAGGATTATTTATCAAAACAAGGAAGGAAGGAACTAAGGCAACCAACTACCTCGACTCCCGAATAGCAGCTTTGATTTCTCTGCTGGAGATGTGGAATGAGGAACTCGTACCTTGTTTTGCAGAAGCTGAAAGTTTTTCAAACTTCTGGCAGGACAGTTGCTGCTGTGTTTCTGCCAGCTTCACATCTTTACTCTTCATCCGAGCCTTGTCAAGAGCTTTGTTTGCATTTTCATAGTCAACCAGAGCTCGGGCTCTCCTGTATAAAAGATCCTGCAATAAAAAAACAATATTGCAGATTATAGATAACATTGATTGATGCACTTTTTTAAAATAAAGATTGTTTGAAATCAAATTCCAAAATTATGTATCAAATCAATGCTGTACAGTATTATGGGGCTTGTAAATCAAACTATAAGCTACATTACCTACCTTTGGCAAGTTCTTGATTCTTTAACATTGATCTTCTATCATAGACACTTCAGTCAAGATGGTAAAATCGCTAAGGTTTGAGATCAATAGATAATGAGGATCATAACCTCATGAGAAACCAAGTGTGAAAACCCATCATCATGCTAGATATACAGTGCACCAACACACAGAAATAACCCGGCATCTCGAATAGAATGTACATTTTCGCCTGGTAGGAACCACCCTGCTAACCTACTTACAGAGAGCATTAGGTACAGGTCGACACGAGTAGAGACTTGGGGACCCAAGAGTGCAGGTCAGAGTACTGCAGAAGTTTAATTAGCTATAAATTACATAGCTTACCATTGAGAATACTGTCCAGAAAACATCTACCACTTATCCAGGTAGGACCAATCTATCCATTACAGCTTTGATCTGTAATGTTAACAGGGTTTAGCTTGGAGTTTATGCCCCTTAAAAATGACTGGTCTGCCCTTCCTACCGATGAATCAGGTTGGCTGTGCTCATCCACAAGTCCCCTCAAGTCTACAGACCTGCTGCCTCAGGAACCAGACTTCACTGCCCACCACAGAGGATTGACATAATTCTGTCATCTCAATTCCAAGCAGATTCTCCGCTACTCCTCCCTCCCGCTTTCACCCACCCCTGGAGGAAGCTGTAATGGCATAGATCGAAAGCTACAAGCTAGTAAGTTGGAATATAACCATCAAAGGTGATGCTTGAGAGTTCATTACAAGGCTGTCCTATGCTAACCCTACAAAATGAACATACACAGATCACCTACCATGCAAGCTGGCTATTAACAAATTTAAACGCATTGTTAAACCCAAATTCCAATGCTGACATATTAAAATAAAAGATTAGTGTTCACCGAGAAACCATGCTTAACACTGCAAAAGTCCTAAAATTCCTGTATTACCTTTGCAGCCTGTATATCTCTCAGGTAGTATTTTAGCAGTTCCGTCAACTTCAAGTCTTCGTCACTTGCTACTCTTCCTTCCACTTTCTAACAGAAGAGGAACAAACTATCAGCAACTCACAACAATGAGTTGGGATATCTATTGTGCAATTAAACAGCGCCAAGGCAGGTTAGGTGCAACATGTTCCAGCAGTTTCATCTACTCATCACAGTAAAATAGACATTTTTGTAGTGCTATTCATGTCAGGACGATGTCTCAAAGAGCTTCACACAGATAATTGGGAGATAAAGCTAGGGAGTAATTGGTGGTCAATGAAATAGCACAACGTGGACTGGGCAGGGACAAGGTGGAGGAACCTTGGGAATGAGTTCCAGAGAATAGCGGCAGAATAGTTAAAAGCTTGTTCACTGATGTTGGGGCAATGGAAGTGGGGGAACGCAAGGCAGGCTGGTATTTACTGAACGGAAGGTGTAGCCAAAGTACTAGGTCACAGAAGTAAGGTGGATCAAAACTATGGAGGCATTTAAAAGATGAGAATTTTGAATCTGATCCACTGAGTGATGGGGAGCCGAATGAGATTGGGGCTATGAGCTCATGAAGCCTGGGGATACAGGCTGCAGAGTGGTGGATAGTCTGCAGCTTATGTAGAGATTTGCTGACAGAGCTCAAAACTACAAGCAGCACTAAGAAATCATACAAACTTTCAAAAAGAAAACAGAATTGAAACATTTAGAACCTGGGTTCTAACCTGGGTTCAATTCCCGGCAGGGTGAAATGTTGGGCAAGTTTCCTTACTCCACACGTCTCTTTTTACCTATCAGTAAGTAGGAACCTGGCTGTTAGTCGATTGGCGAATTGCTTTTCCAGGGAAAGTGAATCCTTCCAAAAAAAAATAATAAATCGGTCACTTCAATCCACGACCGTTTGTGGGACACTGCTGTGCGCAATTGGCATCCGCCTTTTGTCCACAAAATATACAGTCAGTTAACTTTGCAGTATATTCCATGAAGCGCTTTGAGACGTCTATAAGACATAATAAGGCGCTATATCAAATGCAAGGATTATATAACCACTCTCTCCTTATGTTGATTAGATAAGAAACAGAACCATTGAAAAAATTGCATACAAATTTCATTAAGTGCAGTAAAAAAAACTTACTCGAAGTTTCTCAAACAGCTCAGAAATCTTTATATAGTAGCTGAAAAAAGTCACAAATAGTCTAGTTAATCAAAACCCTTCACCACTTTTTTTTATAAAACAGGTACAGCTCATTTTCCATTCATATTTTTACTATGTCCCATAAAGATATTGTGAACAAATGTATTGATTCAGAAACAAAACAATTATGTATTTTAACACGTTGCTGTATTAAATGCATTAAACATGCAAGTAAAGCAGTTGACAATTTTTATGGCACTGCCTCAAGATGCGTTAACCCCAATATTTGTCCATAGTTAAATTTAAAGCAGAACCACACTTGCACACCTAAAGAATCACTAGACCACATATTGTATCTTTCAAAAGGCTTGTGCCACCATTCTGGATGCTTGTTCCAACTCTGGCACACTGATGTTATAATAATCCTGTTGCAAGAAAAATGAGTAATCTTGTTATACTCTACCACTCAATAGGATTCCAAAAGGAGTCTTGAAACTCCCTTAAGACAATGAAAAAGTGTAGATTAAAACATTTGTATCCCACAATCATTAACTGCCTTAATATGACTAAGCGTAACATATTTCATAGATAAGCATGTCATGGTAATATTCTCTTGAACTAACCCGTATATAAAATGATAGCTAACAATAATTTTCAAAGCACACACTCTCGCACCCTCCAGATTTCTTTGTGCTATGATTGGCATCAGTGACCAGCGGATTTCAATGGAAATTAGTAAACAAATTTATGCACATTAACACCAACTTCCTTTTTCCTCTGCTCATCAATGGGTCTCCAATATTTCACCACATGCAACCCAACACCTTTGAGCAGAAAAAATTGAATAGCAATAGATTTTTATAATGAAATAGATATGAAAGGTTCACAAACACTCAGTACAATATACAGGCGATCACAAGCACACTTTAATTTAAAAAGCAAGACAATTTGCCTAGCTAAAAGGACTCACGGATTTAATGGAGATTTTTCTTGTATCACAAGGTCATCCAAGCAGGCGGATAAATGAATATAATCATCAGAAACATCTGAAAGATAAAAAGTCCATATTTTAGTGTGCAAATAATCCCCAGTTTGAGGCGGAGAAGGGGCTTGGTGGAGGGACTTTGGGATATCATCCCCAAGACTGAGAGCAGAATGGCTGAATGTTTGTCCACTGATGGTGGGAACGGCAGTATTTGCTGAGCAGAGGAAGCAGCTGGGGCAGTTTGGTCTATCTAATTTTAAGATATTCAAAATACATTGCGCCCTTGCTTCTTCACTGAAATGCACGTCTAGTGGATATAAATAGCGATATAGATTCACAGTAATGTGCACATACTTTTGAGAGATCTCGTCATTTTTTCCACCTTTGTTGTCGAGTCTTTAATTTTGTTGCCATACTCAACGAGAAACATCTTTTCATGTTCAAAGAATTCATCTACATCCTGCAGGGAAGGGAAATATATTTTTTTAAACATCTCTAAAAGAAAACAAAAAAAAATCTAAAACCTGCAACACTGAAAGCTCCTCCAATTTGAAGATAGCAATATTGGTTTCCTTTGTTTGGCTGGGTTTTATTTGGGCAGCTTTAGTCCCGTTCCTAGTGGACATGGTTCACTAGAAAGGCCAAAGGGTAGTTGGCAATCGGGGAGGAGGGGGGAAGAGAGAGAGACACATTGGTTTAGATGAAGGTCCTGTTGGCCAGAGCAAAAAAAATAATTAATTTCTGACCAGACTGTCTGATGCCAAAATGGGAAGGGGCTTCAGTTCACACATGAAGCGCCCTATCTGATGAGCGCAAAATATTAATAATAATCCTTGCATTTGATATAGCGCTTTTCACGTCAGGAGGACGTCCCAAAGCGCTTCACAGAACACACTGTAAAGTGAATTGACTGTATATTTGTGAGCGAACGCGGCAGCCAATTGCGCACAGCAATGTCCCACAAACAGTCGTAGATTGAAAATGACCAATTTATTATTGTTTTTGGTTTTTGGAGGGATTATTATTAGGCTCTGTGTGGAGTAAGGAAACTTGCCCAAGGTTTCGCCCTCTGCCTGGAATTGAACTCAGGTCTCTCACTTGCAAAGCGAGTGCTCTAACCACTGAGCTACAGGACTCCACAATTGGAATTGGAATTCCATAATTGGAATTATTGATTGATTTTGGAAGACAAGATTGTGGAGTCCTGTAGCTCAGTGGTTAGAGCACTCGCTTTGCAAGTGAGAGACCTGAGTTCAATTCCAGGCAGAGGGCGAAACCTTGGGCAAGTTTCCTTTCTCCACACAGAGCCTAATAATAATAGCCTCCAAATCCAAAAACAATAATAAATTGGTCATTTTCAATCTACGACTGTTTGTGGGACATTGCTGTGCACAATTGGCTGCTGCGTTCGCCAACAAATATACAGTCAATTCACTTTACAGTGTGTTCTGTGAAGCGCTTTGGGACGTCCTCCTGACGTGAAAAGCGCTATATCAAATGCAAGGATTATTATTATTATTATTCAACAGAAAAAGCTAGGGAAAGGCTGCTGGGCTAAACAAATAGCTATACTTTTGCCTACAAAATACAGTCACTACACTTTAAAGCAAATCCTGTGAAGCGTTTTTAGACATTCCTCCCAACGTGGAAGTGCTATATAAAATTCAAATTATTATTGGATGTCCCTCGTTATTCTAGAGAATAAGTAGATAATCATCTAATAAAGCAGATTATTGTCCCTGGTTATGCAAAAGAATAACTCAACTAATGGCATTAAAACAGATAGCTTCAACACAGTGCCCTTCTGTTCTAAGAAATGTTCTCTCTGAAATGGAGCATTTGTGCTCCTTTCGAAAAAAACTGGACTCCAGACACTACAAGTGGAATAGAGTCTAACAAAAGGGAAAAGGTATACCAAGAAAAAGCCCCGCATTATAAAAAAAATTAAAAGCTTTAAAGTTAGGCAAAATCTTGAGTAGCATTAGACACAATGAACATAACTCCCATTGACTTGCTCCTCTCTTTGTTCTATTCTACAAATAAAGTTATTGAAATTACCTTAGCTCCAGAGATAAGCACTTCATCAGCACTCTTCATCATGCTCTTAAAAAAGCCGCCAAACATCTCCTTTGTGTTCTTCCTCCGGACACTCAACTAAAATACAAAATTCAGTTAGATGAACTGCGTGAAAAGCTACTTCAGACAGAATTCCAGATCAGTTGGGAGATGTTCTGTGAAACATCCACCCTTAAGTAATCCACTGCATAAACTTCATCAAGGTCCTCTTTGAGCTAGTTAACCAATCAGACACCCATCCTCATATAATTTTACAAGATTTACTGTAAACCAATCTGTTTACATAGCAACAATCCAGCCCACTTACTTAAACCACTCCAAACATTCGTAAAGTATTGATGGCTATAAAACATTGAGAAATATCATGGACAAAAAAAATTAGAAAATACCAAAGGAAAGCTAAAAAAAACTTCTTTAACTTTAACTGCAGATCCTCCAAACAGAATACCATATGATGAATGATTTTTTTAAAAAAAAAAGTATATAACTTAAACTAGAAACCTGGTATCTTGATCCAAGCCTAATCAACTGAAGAAACTTGGTTCAGTAGAAGTGTTTAAGTAATGTGGCGTTCAGAAAAACAAAGGTACTGTATTCATGCATGCCTTTTCTGTAAAATATTGTTATGGTGGCAATCATATTAAAAATTGACAGGCTGTAGAGGAAGCAAGGCTAATGAGGTTCCACAAAGCAGCACAAACATTTGCACTGAATAAGCATCCCTTAAACACCAATTACTTTTTGGAATTTTCTTTGCTTTTCAGATGAAGCACTTTTGCTCCCAATATGCTGAAAGATGCTGTACATAGACATTGAACCTCACTTGATCAACAAAATAACTGAAGCCATCAAGCAACTGCTGCATAAGCTTTTTCCACTTTCATCCCCCTTTGCTGAAAGCCAGGAACTAAGACTCAAGGGAATACATCCTTCCTGACTATTTAAATGAAGTGAAAAACAAAGCATCTTTACATCCTGGTTGTACTTACATCCTGATCATATTCTAGGAAAACATGGAAGTTAAGGTCTTTTCCAAGTACAGGATGTTCTGTAACCCTCTGCAGGAAGACTTCATGGATAGAGACAGTTTTCTTAAAGATGGCCAAATACTCACTAAACAAGAGGGGCAAAATCAAATACAAAGTATAAATATGATTTGCATCACTGAGGATTTATTTCCAGCAGTATAAGCAACAGCTAGTTGTGGAGTTAAACTTCACAGGCTGGGAAGTTCCAGGGCGCAAGCCCTCTCTGCAGCAAGTTAGAGGAGTCCAAATGTGGTGATGCTACAATTGGTGCCAGTGTCCGAGGCTTCGGGTGGGGAAAGAATGCAAGATTGGTCCCATTTATAATTTATCAAGTTATTGCTGAAGAGAAAGTATGGGACCCTGGCAAGGACAGGTTCAGTCTCATCCTTTGCTTCCAATCACCTTCTCCCTTTGCAGAATTGACTGGCCACAACCTGACTTCACAGATTTAAAAAAGCAGCCACAGTACAGGAAGGTAGCCAGTGTCCACAGGATTATACTCTGTGGATAATTGGAGCTTTCGGGAATGAACAAGCTGAAAGTAGTTTATTTTAAGCTGAGGGTGCGAGTCACATACATGGCTAAGAAGGCTGTATTCAATCACTACAATTTGAAATCTCAAAATCAGATCTCCTAAACAGGGTAGTTTGGAGCCATAAGACCTCAATATAAAAATATGGTAATTTGTACCATACTATATAAAACTCAGAAATTCAGCCCTTGTTCTCCAACTCCCAATTGCTATCTTGATGGTTTAATACATGGGTGAGGGCAGAATCGTGTTCAGCATAAATACTTCACATCTAAAACAGCTGACTGACTAACCGTACAGCCTCAAGTCTTGAAGAATGACCATTTGGACGAGATACCAGAGAGCAAACCAGCACCTATAGAACTGTAGCTCAGAGGAATTGTAAATCACCTAGTGCCCTCAAGAAAATTCAAAAGATTAGTCAAGATATCCAAAGTGCGATTTATTCATTAAAATCGACCTCTCAACTCCGGCCACGTATGGCTCCTTCTATTCTTTGAAGTAAAATCTATGAAACATTTGAAAGCATCCTCCCAACATAAAAGATGCTATATAGAATACAAAATTATTTTATTCCTATGCTAACTTCAAAGTAAAACACCACATCATGCACACATCATACATCCCTATCAGACCCCGCAAAAGCCCGAGATGAGTGTAACTCAAGGCTATTTGGAAGCCAGAAAAAAAAAAAAATGAGCTCACGCTTCAAGCTCCTGCTTCATTTTGTGAAATTCATCTTTAGACATGGAGCCTTCTCCTTCTCCCAGCTTTTGCATTTTTTCCCTGGCAGCATCAAAATCCGGTTTCGGAGGTACTGGAGGAATCTAGCAAGGAGGGAGAGAAAAATAAATCTATAAACATTATTTTGTTAGCAGTTTAACAAATCTTGCAGTGCCCCTACTACAATAGAAAAGCACTGAAATTGGGTTTAATATTTCTTTTTGTGTGAAAATCGAACTTGGAATCACATTGTGTAAGCTGACACTCTAGTGCAGCGCTGGGATGGGGGGGGGGGGGAGGCTTTTGGGAATGAACAATCATCTTGAGATTTAACGTCTCATCTCTTTGGATAAGAAGTTAAATCACACATATATGCCCTGTTCAGGTGGACATTAAAGACCGCCCGTGGAACTATTCCAAAGAGAAGGGCGTTTTTCTCTCTCCCTCCCGGTGTCTTGGCCACCAAATAACATTGTTTGCTCACTCCACGAGTGTTTGTGGGACAATGCAGTGGGCAATTGGCTGCCGCATTTCACCAAACAAATGCAGTCACACAGTGTATCGTGTGAAGCGCTTTGAGATATTTCAACAAAGTGAAAAGGCCCTATATCAAATGCAAGGATTATTATTATAAACATATATAAAGACATTTTTAAGCAAAATTAATACTTGGGCAAATGCAGGATAACACCGTTGTAACACAGCATCTCAGATTCAAAAAATTCAACAGGTCTGCAAAAAAGATTGCCAGCTCACAACTGACACTATTTTCTGCATACATATATTTATGTGCATGTCCCAAAGTCTTTATCCAATCCCACCAGCAACATTTCCTGTGAATGAATTCAGCAACACCTCAACCGAAAAGGTGACCATTTTTTACTTAAGCACAGGAAGCTGGTTCACAACAATTATAGTGCTGGCTCACAACAACACTGAACCCACTCTCAAACACATGTTTAACGCAAGGGCACATTTGAACAGGGTGACTCTTTAGCAATGCCAGACACAAACAGATATTCTTTTTCGCTTTCCCATTATACATGGGATGTTATGATCAAAGACCTAGTTCTATTACTCACAATTATTCCTGCATATTCTTCACTTTCAACCAGGGTATCATGTAACCAAATGAAATCTTCATGTTGCCGAATCACTGAGAACTCTGACTTCTTGAAGGTAGGTACCTTAGTCTGAAAGTGTAAATTAAAAAAAATATTTCTCAACTGATAAATTAGCTTCCTTGCTCTTTCTTCCTCCCTGAAAATCCAGGTTCAGAGCAATAGGTCTTCACTTCAGCCTCAAAGTACAATAGTACTCAAGACAGCACCAAACAATCATGAGAATTCAAAACCGATTTGAATCAAATTGAACCAGTGCTTCATTTCTTCATTCAAAATTAATTGGGTTGTAACATAATTTCTTCCCCACACCAGGACATCTCAAAATGCTTCACACGGTGTACTGTGAAGTGTATGGACTGCATTTGTAGGAGTAAAGGATATTACAAATAGCTGCTCTGAACAATTGTCTGAAGTCATCCATTACTGTTCCAATTTATCAAAAAGGGAAGAGCATCTTCAATATACAGGCTGACAGCTGGCAACACATTATCCAGCTGTTACGAATCCAAACTACAAAACAGTTTGGACCTTCCATCCTCTTGCAGAACAAATGAGGCCTAGAATTCCAGGCAAATGCAACCTTAGTCCAGTTGCATTGTATAATTCCAGTTGCATTATATATTGAAAGCTATTTACAACATAAGTCTAGGACATATAACATATATAATAAATACGCACACACCCTATATATATATATATAAAACATTATTAAAAAACAAGTCAAACCAGGCTCAACACTATCATTGAACAGTGAATGATTAGTTATGCAGTACTTTCATAGATTATATGCACTAAAAACCTGACTGCACTGAAGAAAATGGCAACACTCTAGATATCCCATTTCAGCCCCAATTACTTTGTCACTTATGCTATGTCTATATTGAAGGACTACAGCAACCCAATCTTAGATACCACTGTTGATAAACAACCCTTTCATTTGATATAGAACTTTTCATGTCATCAAGACTTCACACGGCGAGCAGACCACCAGGGCTAATAAAATTGCTGCAATTGTATTTTGTGGATTTTCTAAAAGAAGCAGCAGCCAATAATAACTTCCATATCTTCTCAATGAGAACAGCGATGGTGTCCAAGAGACCACCACATAATACACCATATTGCCCACTGGGGGGCGAGATACCATGATGTTCTCAGTAGGGAGATATAACAGCTCAGCCAGTTGCTTTGACACTACCAGCCTCTACATGTCTTGCCTGAAGCCTTTCCTGGTCTATTGGGAAAAGAAAATGTGGTCAAAGAAAAAAAAATAATCAACACTTGGAGACAACTAACAAGTTGACACACGCAAGCATTTCCACATTGCTGTCATTTAAAAAAAAACTCCAGAGTAAATGGGAGTTTACTGCTGTAGAGTAGTTCAGAGTCAGCTCCACTAGAACTCATAGCGTCAGGCTACTTCACAACCAGTTCAGGTGGAGCTGCCTCTGAACTACTCTACAGTATTTGGGCACGTGAAACGGAATTGGGAAATTCACTTAAAATTGTAGCACCAGATTTGGTGTCTAGTCAGATTTAAACCCAAAGCAAGAAGAGGAAGTACAAATGTATGAAGAGAGCAGCTTTCTGTCATCCAACAAAACTTCTAGAAGGGTACAAAAGATTCAGATCTTAGAGAGACTGCACCCAAAATTCCAAAAGTACTTCATTGTAAAATCTTGTGCAAACAGGACATTGTGCATAGAGATAGTGAGGTCAGCACTGCAATCCAGGCACAGGAGTTAACAACAACAACAACAACATTCCATTTATAGAGCGCCTTTCACGTCGGGAGGACGTCCCAAGGGGCTGTACAGTTAGGTCAGGACCCGAGCAGGGGGAAATGGTCAGGGTGAGGGGAGGGAAGGGTGGGAGCGAGGAGGGGGTAGAGAGTCGAGAGGGGAGCTGAAGGCACAGTCAAAGAGAAAGGTCTTGAGACCGCCCTTGAAGGAGGAAAGGGAGGAGGCGGCGAAGGCACTGGGGGATAGAGTTCCAGAGCCTGGGGGCTGAGAGGCTCGGCCACTGATGGTAGGGCGGTTGGGGCGGGGGATGTGGAGCAGACCAGAGCCAGAGGAACGGAGGGTACGGGCAGGTAGGTAGAGGGATAGTAGGTCGGAGAGGTAGGAGGGAGCAAGGCCGTGAATGGCCTTGTAGGTGAGGGTGAGGATCTTGAATTCGAGTAAAGTTCGAGTTAAGAGTAGAAAGAGTGAATTAGGCTCTATCCCTTTTTCCATCATTTCAGCTACACCAAACTTTTCAATCCTCTCTCTTGCATATAATAAATAATATTTGATATTGCACCTTTCACATCAACAGAATGTCTTAAACACTTCACAGGATTTTACTATGAAGATTAGTGACTATTTTGTAGGTGAACACAGCAGCCAATTTGAATACAGCAATGTCCTCCAAACACCAATAAGTGAATGAACAATTGTACCTCGGGTGTGGTTGGCCAGGATACCAGAAGGAACTCCCTTCACTTTTCAAAGGAGTGCTATGGGATCTTTAACATTCATCCTTCAAGCTGACAGGATTAAAGTCTCAGCTGAAAGGTGCATCTCCAAAAATGAAGCAAATCCACAACACTGGATTGGAGTGTCAGCCTAGATTCAATGAGTTCAAAGTCCAGATATGGGGCTTGAATCCACAACCTTTTGACTCAGCAACGAGAACCTCGTCAACTGAATCAGGCAATATACCAATCCCGATTCCTCTTTAGAATATGCATCCAGTTACCTTTTCAAAGATTTTGCACTATCCATTTCAAAGATTCCCAGATTCTTATTCCATAGTGTTGTCACTTGATATGTTTAGTGATGCAAACAAAATTCAATGCCAACATGCTTGCTTCCTTTCCTTAAGAGTACTCCTTCCAATTGCTAACAGGCCTGTATTTCATCAGATCGCTTTAAATTGCAGATCAAAACAATTTCTCTAGACCAAAGTTTAGAACAAAAATAAAACTTTAAGTGTGAAAAAACAGCAAGTGTACAATTGGAAACCACAAACCCATTACCCTTTGCGTAAAATGGGTGCTGCTCAACTTCCTTTCTTGCTTACAGCTTCCTTATTCTTTAAAATCTGTTGTCTTCTCCAATTTGTGAACCTTTTTTTAAAAAAAGGAAGGATTTGCCTGAAATTAGTATTGCCAATCACGTGGACATGCTTGAGAATTTCAATTAAGTCACCTCCTTTCCAAGGCAAAGAGAGCAGATTTTCTTAAGCTTTCCTCAGAACTAACAGAACATTCCCAACACTTTGAATTGCTACACTTGCTCGTCTGCATGATCTCAAGGCTACTTGAAATTCTGCTAACATTTACAACTTAATTGTCTTAAAGCAATCACCTGAATTACAGCATTTTAATTCAATACAAGTGCCAGGATATAAATACAAGGAGATTTTAGTTCCAATAGTTTTCGAAGAGGTTCTTAACTATATTTTCCTACAAAGCTCTAATGCTTACTTGCAAAAGTACACAAATATGTTTTGCCCACAAAATACACAGTCAATCCACTTTACAATATATTTTGTGAAGCACCTTAAGACATCTCAATGAATATCAAATGCAAGGATTGTTATTAATAAAAAAAAGTGACTGAACTTTACAGTATATCCAGTGAAGCACTCTGGGGCAGCCCCTTGACCTGAAAGGCACCATTTCAAATACAATGATTATTTATTCTCACAATTTAAAAGAGGTGCATTTTTGAAAGCTTGGTCAGCGGAAAGGAAAGAATGTCAGAGAGTCACTCAGATCGCACAGAAGGAAGCAGAGAGCAGATGTGCACAAGCAGATTGGAGACCAATTTACAAGCAAAAGCGATAATGATGAAACAGGATGAAAGCCATTAAATAGACACTCGTGAGCAGATTATGTATAAATACATTGTTGGACATTTTAAAAACACAGATAAACTGAGTAGGTTGGCCAGATTTTGATGATAATTGAACCCAGCTAATAAAGAAAACAAAAACAGAAGTCGCTGGGAATACTCAGCAGGTCAGACAGCAACTATGAAGAAAGGAAAGTGAATCAACGTTTCAGGTTGACGACCCTTCGTCAGAACTGGGGAAGGTTGGGAAGGAGAAGGCTCCATGTGCTGGATTTTGCCAGAGTTCATTGCAAATACAAGAGCAACTTCAGTGAGAAAAGAAAAATAAATCACTCACTTCCCACAGGAAAGCACATCTCAGCCACATAAATCAGGTGATTCTGAAGGAGCATTTCATTTCACCAAAAAGATATACCTTAACAGAGAGTGTGGGCGGCACGAAAAGCCCTTCAATCGGGTTTCTGTGCCGCCCACAGCAGAGAAACAGCCCTGGTCAACGTGACAATGACTTTCTGTCCATCTGCGACCAGGGCTCCCTCTGCCTCCTCGTCCTCCTTGACCTCTCTGCTGCCTTCGATACCGTCAACCACTCTATCGTCATCCACCGCTTCTCCACTCACCTCAACTTTCACGGCTCTGTCCTTGACTGGTTCAGATCGTACCTCTCAAACCGCCGCCACTTCATCTCCACAAGTGGCTTCTCCTCTAGCCCCCGCACCATCTTGTGTGGCATTCCTTGGGGCTCCGTCCTTGGTCCCCTCCTCTTCAAATATCTATATGCTCCCTCGTGATGACATCATCCACAGACATGGGGTTCAACTTCCAATGTATGCGGATGACACCCAACTCTATCTCTCTGCCTCCAACCTCCACTGCTGCCCTGACAGAATGTCTGTCTGACATCAAGTCCTGGATGAGAACTAACTTTCTTCAGCTGAACGTCAACAAGACCGAGGTCCTCCTGATTGGCTCCCGTCAGCGCCTCCTCACCTCAAACGCTGACAGCATCACCATCCATCAACATCATCACGCACACGCCACCTTGCTAAGCCAGTCCGGAACCTTGGCGTTTTGTTTGACCCTCAACTATCCTTTCTACCCCACATTTGCACCATGACCCGCTCTGCTTTCCCCCACTTCCACAACATTGCCCGACTCCACCACTGTCTCACACCGCAGACTGCTGAAACCCTCATACACGCTTTCATTACATCGAGGCTCGACTATGCAAACTCATTGCTTGTCGGCCTCCCCAACTCCTCCCTCCAAGGCTGCAGATCATCTAGAACTCTGCAGCCCATGCCCTCGCCTGCACCAGGCTCTGTGACCCTATCACCCCCATCCTTGCCCAACTCCACTGGCTTCCCATCACACAGAAGATACAGTTCAAGATCCTGGTCCTCACCTTCAAAGCCCTCTATGGTCTTGCTCTCACCTACCTCTGCGACCTCCTAACCCCCTACCACCTGCCCACTCCCTCCACTGAGCAAGCTCCGGCCTGCTTCATGTCCCCCGCCTTGCTCGCCCCAATATTGGCCACTCTGCCCCCACCCTCTGGAACTCCATCCCGCAGTCCCTCCGCCTCGATCCTTCCCTTGCCTCCTTCGAGACCCATCTCAAGGCCTCCTCTTCGACCGTGCTTTCGATCACCCTGCTTCCCCCCCGGCCGCCACCTACCCCGAGCCCAGTTTGGGTCCGAAACTCTGTCTGTCCAGTGCCTTGGGAAGTCCTCCTGATGTGAAAGGCGCTATACAAATGTAATTTTGTTTGAGTGAACACCTTCAGGCTAGCAGGAAAAGCAACAAAAAAAAATCTATGAAGAGTGAGTTTCCAAACATCATAGGCAGTAAACCCACATTGAGTGTGCCTGGAAGATCATAAACTCGGTAAAGGAGGACTTTTGGTACTTCCAAAACCAGGTATAGTTCTGGCAGAATGAGGGGACAGTGAGGGCCTGTCTCAGGCTCGCGCATGCTAGGATCAGGGACTGTGTACTGAGGGACAAGACGAAGTTCGGCTCAACAACGGCAAACGGCAGATGGGGCCTGACCCTGGCACAAGCTGCTCTGGCATAAACTGCTCAGGGTGCACCCACCGCGTAGTCTATGAGAGCACCCAAAACTGACTGAAGTAAGGGTACAGAAGGACACTCGAGATGTAACGTCCCAAAAATGTTTGTATGGTAAACATGTGCACGTACGGTGCTCATCGGGGCACCTTCCAAAAGTGGCAAGTGCAGCGATCAGGGTGTGTGCAAGGATGTGGTGTTCACAGGGGTGACTCCAGACTGAGTCTCAGGCACAATCTCGCCTTATCAGGGTGTGCGTGGGTGTGCACATGAATGTGGTGTAGATAGGGGCAACTCCTAACTGTATTAACAGGAGCATCCCAAAAAACATGTGCACAACCTACGTGCGTTGAAGGAATGTACCATAAACAACGGAATGTTTTTTGTATTGGGAGAAAAGGAAAAAATTGTAACACAAGATGTTGTATGTTGTTTGTTTTAGATTTCTGTTGTACCAAATATTATATTTATAAATAAATGTATATTTTCAAAAAAAGTAAACATAATTGAGGTGCACTTATTCCACACTCAAAAGAATTAAATTTGAACACTGCTGTACGCCTAAAATGGGCATATATTATATAGCAAGTCACCCCAAACTTTCATAAAACTTGCAGTTTATTATGCTGCCCTACTACATCTAGGCAAGCAGATGTTGTTTCTCGTATTTAGTTCTGAAGGATACACCCACCTTGGTGTGAACTGTGAATTTAACTTTATCTCTTTCGCTGAGGGCATCAGGAATTTCAACCAGCACTGCGGGTTCTACATCCATTGATACAGATTCTGGCTGCAATAAAAAAAAAGGAAAGAGTTAACACTTTAATGGAACAATGCTAAATTTAAATTGATTTTGATATTAATTGATATTATAATTTAAATATTTATCAGACTATGAATAATATTTGATAAAACACCTACAATGTCAAAACTCAAATCACTTTATTTTCTGCAAAATGTAATGCAATGACTGTATTTGTAGGCAAAAACAACAGCCCGTTTCCACATAACAATGTCCCCACAAACAGCTACAAAGTGAGTAACTAATTTATTTGAAGTATTGATTGTTGACCAAGATAAGCTTCTCGTTTTGAATAATCCTTTGGGATCTTTAACCTTACCCTGAACAAACAGACGTGACTTCAGTTTAACGTCTCATGCAAAGGTTGACATCTCTGACAATGCAATATCTCCCCCTAGCACTGCATCGGAGCTTCAAAAATCTCAATATTTGAGCCCACAACCCTTTGACCAAGAGACAAAAAGACAACTAAATGAGTGGGCTGACCCTAAACTATACATGAGAATGCCAATTGCACAATAAAGAAAAATATGTCTTGGGAGACACCAGGAAGCAGCCAAACGACAGTATAAAAATTAGGACAAACTTTAGGTGTATAAGGGCTGGTTTGTGACAGAAAAAGATGCACCCCTCAAGAATAAATCTGGCAAAGATAAATGAATACCCTTCAAAAATATGTAGAACATGCAGATACAACAAAAATATGTGGGGCATGCAGACAAAATGTACGTCCAAGTGGAAGGGGGTCAAATCATTTATATAATATATATAATATTCTCAATGGGATCACTTGAGGATTACAAAGTTTACACGGAAAAACTGAAGGTGACTACTGAACATGGGACAAGTCTATACAGAAGCAAGCTTTATTTTAGAAGGGAGCTGAGAAAAATATGACAAAGCAGGAAGTATGCAAAAACACCACTAAATATAGAAATTACTAGTGAGACCACAAGAAATTGAAGAGAAAGGCAAGAAATGGACAACACATGCTTGGACCTCACCTAGAATCATAGAATTATACAGCACATTTGGCCCACCGTGTCCATGCTGGCTCTTTGAAAAGAGCTATCCAATTCAATCCCACTCCCCCACTCTCTCCCCACAGCCCTACAAACTTGTCCTCGCCAAATAATTATCTACTTCTCTCTTAAAAGTTATTGAATCGGTCTCCACGACCCTTTCAGGCAATGCATTCCAGATCCAAACTCGCTCTGTGAAAAAAATTCTCCTCAACTGATCCACTATTCAAAAAGAGAAGAGAATTTCTCCCAGTGTCCTCACCAACAATCCCCCAATTACAATTGGTCACTCACCGAATGGCTGTTTGTGGGAAATTGCTGTGCAAAGTTGTTCTGCTGTATTAGCCCACAAATACAGTCACTCCAATGCACAGTAACTCCTGTCAAATGCTTTGAGACATCCTTCTGATGTGATAAGGCACTATAAAGTGAGAGACCTGAGTTCAATTCCCGGCAGGGCGAAACCTTGGGCAAGTTTCCTTACTCCACACGCCTAATAATAATCCTCCAAAACCAAAAACAATAATAAATTGGTCATTTTCAATCTACGACTGTTTGTGGGACATTGCTGTGCGCAATTGGCTGCCGCGTTCGCCCACAAATATACAGTCAATTCACTTTACAGTGTGTTCTGTGAAGCGCTTTGGGACGTCCTCCCGACGTGAAAAGCACTATATCAAATGCAAGGATTATTATTATTATAATACCAAAATGCAAATATTATTATTAATAATAATCCTTGCATTTGATATAGCGCTTTTCGTGCCTTCTAGACATCCAAAGCACTTCACAGAATATACTGTAAAGTGAATTGACTGTATATATGGAGGTGAGAGGCAGCAGCCAATTGCACAAAGCAGTGTCCCACAAACAGTCGTGGATTGAAGTGACCAATTTTATTTTTTTTTCTTGGAAGGATTTTTATTAGGTGTGCGGAGTAAAGAAACTTGCTCAAGGTATCGTCCTGCCTGGAATCAAACCCAGGTCTCTCGCTTGCGAGGCGAGTGATCTAACCACTGAGCTACGGGCCTCCTACAATTAAACCTACATAATGCATTCACATTGCAAAAATGCCATTACATAGCAAAGTAACATAATAAAAAAATGTGATTGTTTTATAAAGTGGATTAATTGTATATTTTGTGCGTAAAATGCATCAAAAGGAAATAGGTCACAATGAAAATTTAGCTTCAAGTAAAGCAAAACTAAGCAAGTAAATACAATACCAATTTGAATTTTTAAGTCCCATTCAAATCAATACAGGCCAGTCATGTTACAATTCAAAATTATAACAATCCTTAAACTGATATAGCACCTTTCATATCAAGAGTACATATCAAAGCAGGATTTACAACAAAATGTAGTGACTGCATTTTGTTGGGAAACAGTCAATCTACAAACAATATGCCACAAATTATGTAATTCAAATATTTCTATATTCCTACAAGTCAGGTGGTTGTTGTCAGGAGGTTTTTTGAAAACGACAAACACAATTATTTCCCCAATGGTGAAACCACATGAAATTGGGATAGTTATTAATTACAAGTGGCACACAGAAAGTCTGTGTTGTGCCCACCAGGAAGGCTTGCCAGGCTCACAGGACCAGCCTCCAGTTCCCAAGCCAGCCAGGTCTGCAGCTGCAGCAACTGGGGCAAGGAGTTATCCCACTCAGCTCCTGTTAACCCTGGAAGCCAAAGCCTTAATAATAATAATAATAATCCTTGTATTTGATATAGCGCTTTTCACGTCGGGAGGACATCCCAAAGCGCTTCACAGAACACACTGTAAAGTGAATTGACTGTATATTTGTGGGCGAACTCGGCAGCCAATTGCGCACAGCAGTGTCCCACAAACAGTCGTAGATTGAAAATGACCAATTTATTATTGTTTTTGGATTTGGAGGGATTATTATTAGGCTCTGTGTGGAGTAAGGAAACTTGCCCAAGGTTTCGCCCTCTGCCTGGAATTGAACTCAGGTCTCTCACTTGCAAAGCGAGCGCTCTAACCACTGAGCTACAGGACTCCAAAGCCTTAGCAGGTAGGATGGTCCTCGCTGGACAAGCAGTGAGAAAGCTTGCCAGCCAATGCCCACACTGGGCAAGCAATACAGTTTTGGGTGGCTAAACTCCAGCAATTCCCCACCCCACCCCGCTCCCCCACCCCCAGGGTCCCTAAGAGCCCAATACTTTCTGGAATTCGCTAAGCAGTATGTGTCCCTCCAGGGAGTGTGCAGTTTCCATTTCAATGAATATCTCTGGAATTTCCATGTGGGTTGTTTGGAATTCTCAGCTAGGGAGACCCTTAAGCCATGGTGATATATTGTGTCAGACCCCCAGCTTGACCCGAGCGTTGTATAACTGACCCCTATCGATATACAATGCCATTAAACGTTATTTTCTTATGGGACTTTTTTTGTGTTTTTAAAAAAAAACGCATTTAGTAACACGTCGATACATTCCCAGTTTTTCCATTGCAACTAAATGCCATTGGCAACATCTTTTCGCGACACCCCCTTTTTTTGTTTACAAAACTTTTCCAAAACGTTGCTGTCTAACAAAACAGGAACTACTCGGGTCGGGGTCGGGTCTGGGTCTGGTCTGAGTCTGGGTCTGGCACCACACCACACCTCCCCCTCTCTCCCCTTACCTTACTGCTGTCGGCGGTACCTTCGGACATCATGTTCCTCTTGCAGAAAAGAGTGGGAGGTAGAAGCGGGGTCTGTACGTAAGAGAGAGAGAGAGCACGGCGCTTAACTGGGTCAAATAAAGTTGCTGCAACCTTTCCTCCCTCCCTCCCTCCCCACCCGCATCTCACCCACCTCCTGCGCTGCTCCCTCTGCAACTCAAATGTCCCGCCTTTACCGTCTCCCAATTGGCGGCGTCGGTCAGCGCCCGACGCGTCGCCGGCCCTGCTATTGGCCGCGCGGGCCGCTCGTCCGTCACAATCCGGGCTCGCCTTCGAAAGCGAGCCCCGCCCCCGCCGCCCGTCCATCAGCCCCGACGCACGTCACCCGCCACGTTCCGGCAGTCACATGCTGCGAGCGAGCGAGGGAGGGAGGGAGGGAGGGAGGGAGTGGGCGGGGCGTGGGGGAGGGGGGAGAAGGAATGACAGCAATGAGCCCACCCCCCCCCCCGCCCGCCCCACAATCCCTCTCGCTGTGCATTCTGGGAACTGTAGTGCGTCTCCCCCCCCCCCCCCCGGCCCCCGCCCAGTCCCAGAATGCACGGCTCGCTCGCCCCATCCGCGGCCGTTGGGCGCGCTCTTGCGGCCGAGTGACGGCGACCGGCGAGCCGGTAAGTACCTCAGCGCCGGTGCCTTCAGCTGCTCAGGGCGGGCGGGAGGAGGAGGCGGAGGCCCGACTGTGTCGGTCGGCCGGGAGGGAGGGAGGCAGTGTGTAGCTCACCCTCCACATGCTCGGGCCCTGACCCACACCCCCACACCCCCCGCTCCGGGTTGTAGGCCTCTTGCCGGGCGGAGGCGGGTAAGAAGCGGTGGCGCGCGGGGCTCACGTGTGTGCTCGGGGCCGCCGCCGCCGCCGCCGCCTTTTTTTTTAAACCTCCGGTGCTTTCGCCTCGCGCTGAGTGCCGTTCATTTATTTATGCAGTGAATGAAGCTGCTGCCGCCCCCCCCCCCCCCCACAACCGCTGGCGGTTCAGGGGTCAGCGCCGGTGTTGTGACTAACGCGGAGGAGAGAGAGAGAGACAGACAGAGAGAGAGAGAGACACTGGGCCCCGATTCACACGGTCTGTCAACATCGGGGGTGTAGGTGTTAGCAGTGAAGGCTGACAGTAAACTCCAGTGAAACATATAAGCGGTTACTTCTCCCAACCAGAGGTGGAATGGAAGTAACCGCCGCTAACGATCATCCCTCCAAAACAAAACAATAATAAATCGGTCACTTTCAATCCACCGCTGTTTGTGGGGCACTGCTGCGCGCAATTGGCTGCCGCGTTTCGCCCACAAATATACGGTCAGTTCACTTTGCAGCCTATTCTGTGAAGCGCTTTGAGACGTCGAGAAGACGAGAAAAGCTCCATATCAAATGCAAGGGTTGTTGTTGTTGTTGTTGTTATTATTAAAAGAGGTTACGCTTTCACAACGAGCAAAGTTCGCCAATAAATTTGCCAGATTTCTTTCCCCGCAATGTTTGGTAAGCATTTCCACAATGAACCTCGCAATTGTAGTACACTGTGTGTAATCGCCTCGTTGCTATATTCTGTGCGTAATGCTGTACAGTTTGCGAGATAAGCAGTTGTTTTGGTGTTAGCTGTGCTCAGTCTGGTTGGGGGTTCATAATCCAGGCAGACATTTCAACACTGACAACATGCATTTATATAGTGCCCTTCAAATAGGATACTGTCTTGGATCAGTTCACAAAGTTCGGGGTTGCATATCAAGCAAGAGAGACGGTAAAGTAGTGATCTTGGTCAGAGACCGAATATGAGGAAGAAAGGAGAACTGAGGATCAAACCATTGAAATTAAGGAGATCAATGTTGGAAGTAAGGAGACATTGAGAAGATGACGTCTGTCGTGTCCATGGTAAACTGCAAGAAATTGAGGTTCAGGTAAACGGACAGAATATCAGTGGATCTGGAATGAACAGTAAAAGTGGCGAAGTATATTTTGAGTATCATACGCGTACATGTGGAAGTTAACCCTGTGCTGCGGATGATGTCATTAAGGGGAGCATCAAGACGAGGAAAAGGAGGGACAAAGGATAGAGCTGTGAGGTACTTCCCAGATGATAACGTGGGGAAGGAGGAACCGAGGTGGATGTGTTGGGTCAAAGTGGAATTGGAAAAAAGAGAGTGTGGTCTTTTGCTGGTGGCTGAGGCAGGAGAGACAATTTAGGAGGATGGAGACGTTAACACCACTTGTATTAATGCCATACTGGATAAACCTTGCATTGTCAGAGGTATTCTCTTTTGGGTAAGGTATCTCACCAGGATATATTCTGCCTCTCTTCAGGTGGATGTTATGTTACAGTTGCCATGACACTATTCGAAAAGTGAAGGGAATTTCTCCTGGTATCCTGAATAATAATCTTCTGGACAAAATTGGCATTTGTCTCAAGACTATTTATGGGATCTGCTATGTGCAAAATGGTTGCCACTGTTGCCTACAAACACTGTCGCTCTACTTTTCAGAGTAATAATAATAATAATCCTTGCATTTGATATAGCGCTTTTCACGTCGGGAGGACGTCCCAAAGCGCATCACACTGTAAAGTGAATTGACTGTATATTTGTGGGCGAACGCGGCAGCCAATTGCGCACAGCAATGTCCCACAAACAGTCATATGGATTGAAAATGACCAGTTTATTATTGGGTTTTTTTGGAGGGATTATTATTAGGCTCTGAGTGGAGTAAGGAAACTTGCCCAAGGTTTCGCTCTGCCGGGAATTGAACTCCGGTCTCTCGCTTGCAAAGCGAGTGCTCTAACCACTGAGCTACAGGACTTCTTGAAGTGCTTTGAAATGTTTCAACGTAATGATACATTTCCACAAGACATTTGCGATGTTTCAATGCTATAAAAATGCAAGTTCTTTCATATTTTGGATCCTGTTTACATAAATAACACAGTGCCTAAGGCATAACTCTAATTGAATCTATCAGTTTTGGGAGTGCTGACACAAATACTTTATTCTTCTAAATCCTGGCATGTAATTTGATCATTTAGTATGTTTGATATGCAATTATTTAAAAATCTTTTGGATTATTTGACAAAATTAATGCGGTGCTTTCAGCAACTTGTCGTGCCAATTGACTAATCAGCTTGTCAATCATGAATCAAAGGAGTTTAGTATTGCATACTTTCGAGTTGCCTACATTGTTCATTTTTCTTCCTTAATTCTGTACTGCGTGGGGAAAGATACCTTGTATGGTTTTCTATTAAACAAGGGGCTAAGCAAGCCCAAATATTTAACCAATGTGTCTATGTCTTACCTGTATTTGTTACAAATTTTAAAAAGAGCAATTGCTACAATTATCCTCCTAAGTTGCTTCCTTCACTTGGGAACTACAATCAAATCAGAAACCATGTGGACTTCTTCTAGTGTGGATACTGTATCAGGCCAAAATTGTATTTGTAGTAGAATGTTGCAAGCACCTTTGTTATTCTAACATTATGCACTTAGACACATAATAATAACAATAATATTATTAGACACATGCACATTTATTTAAGCGAGAGATCTGGGTTCAATTCCAGGCAAAGTGAAACCTTGGGCAAGTTTCCTTACTCCACACGTCTAATAATAATCCCTCCAAAAAACAAAACAATAATAAATTGGTCATTTTCAATCCACAACTGTTTGTAGGACACTGCTGTGTGCAATTGGCTGCCGTGTTTCGCTCACAAAATATAGTCAATTCACTTTACAGTATATTCTGTGAAGAGCTTTGAGACGTCTAGAAGATGTGAAAAGCGGTATATCATATGCAAGGATTATTATTTTTTTCTAAGCAGGATCTGAATGCCTGGGACATTTTAATGTTTAATGAAGAACCAGCAGACTGTTATCTCTCAGACGACTCAAACGTTTTTTGAAATTTTAATGCCTCCACCGTCTTGCTCCTCCCTACCTCTGGGAACTACTTACCAATCTGCCCGCTCCCTCTGCTCAGCCTCAGCTTCATGTCCCCCCTTAGGTGGCCAAGCCTTTTGCCTTTCTGCCCCCAACCTCAGGAACTCCATCCTGGAGCCCCCGCCTCGTGCACTCCCTTCCTCCTTGATTGTATCTTCGGTAATCCTCCCACTGCCACCCCATTGCCCTCCACCCCTCTTGATTCCAATCCCTAGTTCAGGTGTAAACCCTTAATTTTCCAGCACTTTGGGACGTCCGCAACATGAAAGGCACTATATAAATGCAAGTTGTTGTTGGTGGTTATACACTCGTCACGACAAAGCCAGTGCAACACTACCAGTGGCACAAACCTGGAAAATTTGTATAACAATTTTTGTTAACAAGATTGAGGTCCTCCTGATTGGCTCCCGTTAGCGCGTCCACACCTCAGGTACTGGCAGCATCACCATCCATGGACGTACACTCCACCTCACTGAGCCAATCTGGAACCTTGACGTCTTGTTTGACCCTCAACTGTCCTTTCTACCCCACATCCGTGCCACGACCCGCTCTGACTCCCCCTACCTCTGCAACATCGCCTGGCTCCGCTACTACCTCAGGTTGCCCAAACCCTCATTCACACGTTTATTACATCTAGACTCGACTACTCTTCACTACCTTTTTGTTGGTCTTTCCAATTCTTCCCTCCACAAGCTGCAGATCATTTAGAACTCTGCAGCTCATGCCCTCTCCCAATCACCACCACCCTCGCCCGGCTCCCCTGGCTCCCATCCCACTTCACGGCCTTGCTCCTTCCTACCTCTGTGACCTGCTAACCCTCTGCTATAATATTCCATGATTGACGTATGTATGATGCATTGACTGGGGGGATGAATTGTACAGTAAACTCTGGATAACTCGTCATTCTAAGGGAAAAGAGCTCAGCAATGAGTTATCCGGAGTGGCAAGTTGGGCATCAGTTCTCCCGAGATACAAGGGGGCATTGTGACTGCTGCGGGCACTCTGCAGAGGTTGGACGCAAATGCTCAGATGCACTGCAGAGGCCTCTGGTCCAATGGAGGGCCATGGCCTCCTGCCGTATTCTGTCACAGGATAGGGTGGGAGGCAGGACGAGAAGCCATGACATCCATGAGACCAAAGATCTCTCCAGTGCATCTGAGCATGCAAGACCAACCTCTGTTGAGCACTTGTACCATCACAGGTTAGGGCAAGAATTTCTAGAATGCAACTAGTTATGTATTAAAAGGAGCCACAAGTAAAGCAGAGCCGCTTATTAACATTTTGCATGGGAAGCTGTTGTGATATTGACACTATGACAACTTAAATAGTGGGGGAGGGAACTCCCAGTATCAAATTATCAGGAGTTTACTGTATATGACAATTTATCTTTTGTCACGAGTAGTCTTTGTCATCTTGTAAATGGGGCCAGAGTTTTTTTAGTTTTATTGTCCTGTATTTAATTTTTTTAAAAAAACTGCAGGCATTTAGATTTATTTAACATCCTATTTTTTGTTATCTTTTAAACGCACACTTCTTTCCACACAACTTCTTGTTTTTGTGAGCAGTTCAACCCTTGTCAATATTTTCTTTGGATCATCTGATGGGAGTGTCCTTTTTTGTTTTATTCCCCTGCCTCTTTTTCCCATGGTGAAAGGCTCACTTGTACCACGTGAGCCCAGCTGAGCACAGCAGAAACTCCCAACTATTTTAGATGAATGGATTTATATAACCAACACCACACAGATAACCTGTTGTGAAGCCACTGTAAACAACACATCCATTTAATGCTGACAATTTTTTTAAGTGAACAACTGTTTAATCATGCAGTTGTTTATTTAGTTTTATTATTGAATCATGGAAAAATCACGGATTTGTAGTGAAATCTTACATTTGCTTCCATTGTACAGTTTTTCCATATTTTTAAATAGAGATTTCCAAAATGTTAAGTGTTTGCTATTTTATTTGGTAGATTATTGAAAAAACTGCAATCCTGTGCAAAAGATAACTTAAATGTCAATATTTATTCAGTTTTATAGTGAATGAATACAGTGAATTTTGGTAATTCGTTTAGGATTCTTAATGGCTATTCATTTGACAGGAATACTGTATTCACTTACCAGCAGGACAGTGATGGTGTGGAATATTTTGGTGAAGCTGCAAAATGCCATGGGAATTTTTATTGAAATCTACAGACCATTTTCCCTGAACTTCTGTAAATGTCTTCTTTCCCAATAATATACAGTAAAACTCGCATAAGTCTTATCTTTATAAATCAGATAATCACCTATGTCATACATTCACCCAAATCCCATTCAATTTCCTATCAAAATCACTTAGATTTTGCACTATTCTTAATAATCGCCTCCTAACTCGTAACATCGCTCCTTTCTCTCGCGCCACTCCCTTTATGAACCCCTCCAATCGGGTTTCCGTGCCGCCCACAGCACAGAAACAGCTCTGGTCAAAGTGACAAATGAAAGTCTATCCATCTGCGACCAGGGCTCCCTCTGCCTCCTCGTCCTCCTTGACCTCTCTGCTGCATTCGACACTGTCGACCACTCTATCCTCATCCACTGCCTCCCTCACCTCAACTTTCATGGCTGTATCCTTGACTGGGTCAGATCACGCTTCTCACATCGCCTCCACTTCATCTCCACAAACGGTTTCTTCTCCAGCCCCCGCACTGTCTCGTGCAGCGTTCCTCAGGGCTCTGTTCTTGGTCCCTTCCTCTTCAATATCTATATGCTCCCTCTTAGTGACATCATCCGCAGATGTGGGGTCAACATCCACATGTATGCGGATGACACCCAACTCTACCTTTACGTCTCCCCCTTGACTCCAGGACCACTGCTGCCCTGACAGAATGTCTGTCCCACATCAAGTCCTGGATGAGAACTAATTTTCTTCAGTTGAACATCAGCAAGACCGAGGCTCTCCTGATTGGCTTCTATCAGAGCCTTCTCACCTCAGGCGCTGACAGCATCACCATCCATGGTTGCACTCTCCACCTTGTTCAGCCAGTCTGGAATTTCAACTATCCTTTCTGCCCCACATCTGTGCCATGATCCGCTTTGCCTTCCCCCATCTCCGCAACATCACCTGGTTCCACCACTGTCTCACACCGCAGGCCGCCAAAACCCTCATACATTCTTTTATTACATCGAGGCTTGACTATGCAAACGCTTTGCTTGTTGGCCTCCCCAACTCCTTCCTCCATAGGCTGCAGATCATCTAGAACTCTGTAGCCCATATCCTCTCCCGCACCAGGCTCTGTAATCCTATCACCCCAATCCTCACCCGACTCCACTGGTTTCCCATCAAACAGAGGATCCAGTTCAAGATCCTGGTCCTCACCTTCAAAGCCCTCTATGGTCTTGCTCCCCCCTATGTCTGCGACCTCCTAATCCCCGACTATCCCACTCGCTCCCTCCGCTCAGTGGACCCCGGCCTGCTTCACGTCCCCCACCTCATTCGCCCCACTATTGGCGAGTGGCCCTTCTGCCACTCTGCCCCCACCCTCTGGAACACCTTCCTGCAGTCCCTCCGCCTCGCCCCCTCCCTTAACTCCTTCAAGACAGATCTCAAGATGCTCCTCTTCGACCGTGCTTTTGATCTCCCTGCTTCCCCACACTGCCATCCACCCTCCCGATCCCCAGCTTGGGTCCGAAACACTGACTGTCCAGCGCCTTGGGACGTCCTCCCGACATGAAAGGCGCTATACAAATATTATTTTGTTGTTATACAGTTTGCCTGCAACTCGGACTTCATGTCAGTCATATTAAATGTTACGGTTCTGACTGATATGACGACCTATGTGAACTTTACTGTAATGCACAAAATACCTAAAAAAAACTCTGTTTCTAGTTGCTCAATATCTATGGATGTATTTTATTCTCAAATATTTTGCCTTCCTCTTTGAAATTTTTTACTCGCAACCCCAGTTGTCACATGTCATTGCAAATAAAAAGTTTGGGATTATATGAAAACTATTCAAGCTTTTCAACATTTTTGTTTATCGCATAAGTCAAGAGTCAAAGTTTCCACCTTGTGATTGTAGAGAAAAAAAAGGTGAAGCCTGTTTCTGTGATAAAATGTATTCATAATAAGACTGTACATCTGAAGAGCAAATTGGGATTAGTCATCTACCTACCAAGTGATCCCATTTATTGTGTCATTCGGTTTTCACCCTGGATGCATAAATCTTGCAATTTCTTCAGAAGTTTTCAACAAATGCATGGTATTTTATGGAGTACAAGGAACGGGTGGGAGTGTAACACAACCACCACACTCACAAGTATTATTTTGCATCCAAGAGTCCGGTTCAAAAGCAAATGATTCACTGTCCTATTTTCTATGGCACACATAACACATAGATCGTATTCATGTAAGATTACTGTAACCCTGAGAGATAAAAATGTGGTAAACAAACTGTTAATAATTACCATCAATAGTTTTACCACTGTTGGAGAAAAGGGTAGTGCAGTTATACCTTACTGATAACTCGTCACTCCAAAAGAAAAGGGGCAGTGACGAGTTATCACAAGTGTCAGTTAGGCATTTGTATAATAATAAACCTTGCATTTGATATAGCGCTTTTCACGTCTTGCAGACGTCTCAAAGCGCTTCACAGAATATACTGTAAAGTTAATTGACTGTATATTTGTGTATAAATACATCAATAAATGGGGTCAGGATATTTTCAGCATGATGACTTAAGTGGTAGTGACGAGTTAAGCCAGGATCGAGTTATTAGGAGTTTACTGTACTAATATGCAGTATATATGTCGAAAGTAAAGAGTTCTGCAAACTTGTGGTCTTGGCAAAGAATAAGTCGAAAGTAGAAAATAGTCCAATGAGTAGTGCACTTTCAACACTGTGAACAGGCAAAGATGACAAAGTAAGCATAGGGCAATGTATTTGAAGAACTACATTGAAAGTTTGGAGAAGCATTAATAATATGGGAGAAACAAGTTTGGGTTTGATATGGCAATAGCTACCTTGGAGTTCTTTCCTGCAGGGGTCACTGAACAGCAATCAGGAGAAGAAACTTATCCATTATTTTCTTCGCTAACTCACAAGTTGTACTTCTCGGCAAACAAAGACTAATGGGTGTCTCACTTTCTCAGCCAAGCAATGATAACAGCCTCCGCTTGGCCATCCTGAACACAAACCAAGATAATCTTTATTGTTTCACTGTAGCCAACCATTGAATTTTGTGTTCTCAGCTGCTTGGTTGGAGGAATCCTGATTTTGGGTGAGATGTTAAACTGTGGTCCAAGTCTGTCTGTTGAGGTCAGCATTAAGGAACTCATAACACTATTCAAAAAGGAAGGGATAATTTCTTCCTGTTTCCCCTCAGCCCCCAATTGTTCTTAATTTTACAAGAAGACTGATATAAAATTTTGCAAGATTTACAATAACAACAACTTTGATTTATATAGCGCTCTCCACGCTGGACGGCGTCTCAGAGCACTTCACAGTAACGGATCCTGGGGCTGAGCCAGGGGGAGGGGAGGAAGGTGACCAAAGGCGCGGTAGAAAAGAAAGGTCTTCAGCAGAGACCTGAAAGTAGGAAGAGAGGGGGTGAGGCGAAGGGAGTGAGGAAGGCAGTTCCAGAAACATTAGAAACAAAATTATGTGTATAATATGCTTTCATTTCAGATGACCAGGACCATTATAAATCAGGCATACTGTAGTGGAGTGAAAAAGGATTGACCTGTATTCTTAAGCATCACCCCAGGGAATGCATTACTTTGGTTTCTTAAACACTGCAATCTGCAGAGGACTGAGAAAACCCTTCAAGCAGCACTGGAGACTGCTACCGGAAAACCTGATCTACTGTAGTCATTACTTTTCTACCTCCTGTTCCTTTAATAATCGGAAAAGGAACCTGAGTCAATATGAGCAGGTTGATCAACAGAAATATGCCTCTTTAGTTCGCTCTGTTGTTTCAGCGAAGACCAGCCCTCAGACCCCTGAAACGCTGTTTGGTGAGGATGATCTGTTATACGGCCCAGTCATTAAATCAAAGCCAACCACAGATGACTCAAAAGCTGAAATCCCAAAGATGTCAGCTCCCTTGAACACTGGTCACAGTGCTGGCTTGACACAGGAGACTGCATTAAAACAACCACTCCAGATTGCTTTGAGGAGGGTCTATTCAAAGGCAAGCCTGCCTAGTGTGACGCGCGTCCTGCAGCTGACGATGTCCTTGGAGCAAGCATTTTACTTGGAGAGGTGGAAACGCAGAATGATAACCGAGCTGGGAGAAGAGGGATTTAAAGAGTACAATAATAGTAAGTGTGTTGTCTGGTACTGAAGTACAGCCTTCTGGGAAAGTGGCCACCTATGGACCTGATCTGGCTGTTTAAAGTAGATATTCTTCAATTCATTTTGAGATATTGAAAAGTCTTTATGTCCTAAATCTAATCGTTATTGTTTCTTATTGATCATCTGGATGTCTTGGTGATGCATGAGGAAACCCATCACCATACTTAAAGAGTATCCAAATCAAAATGAGAGTACCATGTGTCTGGGATTGAATGCACCCTCTTTCCCTGGAGGGATGCATTCTTCTTACTTAATTCCAGAGAGAATTAGACACAGGTTGCCAAGAGCTAAGGTTTGGAGTCCCCAGAGTGTGCATTAGACTGCTGCTGGAGTTTAACCAGCTAAAATCGCAGAGCTTGCCATTGGGAGCACTATATGGCAAGCTTCTGCCACTCCCAGTCACCCTATCCATTAGGGCTCTAGCTTTTAGGTTAATAGAAACTGAATGAGAAGAATCACTGCTCCTAGTGAGTGCACCTACCTCTCCATTTCCAGCATATCAGCCAGGTTGGCTGGTCTGTCAGCAGTAGTGCCCTGATGCTGCTGTGGATCCGCTTGATTTAGGAATTGGATTACCGAGACCATTAAGGAGACTTGATTCAATTCCAGCATTCCATTACCAAACATGTCACCCTGGAGCCTGTTCACCTTAAAGTGGACTTCCCCTCCCTGCTCCCATAGTTATTAATATCTTAAACTATATAATTATGTTTAAAGGGTATTGTCTCCCTATAAAGGTAGAAGTTAAGCTTTTTCCAGCTGTTTTCCAACTGCTTTACAATATATCTCAAGAATCATATTGTATTGCAAAATTATTTGCATAATAAACGTGATTTTCTGGATGTTTTCTCTCCCTAAAATGGTGGATTCCCCCAGTAACATGCTTCATTGTATTTCCAACCAATTTGTTCGACCAATGATCCAATGACTGTTCAAAGAAATGCAGAAAAATATCACTCCTAATTGAACTACATGTGACTGTAATCTTCATCAAACATTTTTTCATAATTTTTTGATAAACTATGAAGCTGAATGTGTGAGAAGAGGATAAGAAAGACTCATTTGATCTAAACCAATCCACATAGCACAGATTTAAAGCAGCGTTATATATTTTCTATTCACATGTGACATAAATAGAATACACAAGGAGTTACTGTCAAACCATGATCTCTCATTCATAATGCTGACCATAAGTCAAGTGACACATTTGTGGGATATAAATAATATTGCATGGGTTCGCCCTATTTGATGTTGTTCTAACCTTTCCTGTACACAGACGTTCCCTGTAAACAATGGCAGATGTCAACATCATTATGAACCTGCAGTAAGGAAACCATTGCTTCTGCTGTGCACTGAATTATCAAGGAAGCAATTGAAGCATTACTATTGCACTCTATATCCTTGGGTTAGGGAGGAGTAAATAGCCAAGGTTCCCACTTGTGATGAATATGAAACTCTGTACTGGGAAGTTCAAATCTGTGGATGTTGAGTGAAGGCATGCTCTATTTCTGCTGTGATGCTGCTTCACAGTCAAATAGTCCAATACTCACTGACCCAGTTCACACATGAGCACTTGGGTGGCCATGGACATGTACCTTCATGAGTCTCAGCCTTCAAGACAAGAGAGTGAAAATTGTCCCCCAAAAATCTTAACGGGTGATTTCAAGATTAGTTACAGGATTGAGGTGAGTCGCAAACAAGTCTGGTTTTGTTCTTTCAGTTTCACAATATCTGACCATCTTGATTAGATAACTTTTTCTCGGTCATGCGAAAACCTATCACCATGCTCAGGAATATCTGAACCAAACTGAAAATTTCATGCATCCCACTTACACATGGAAATTCTAGAGATAGATTGTTTGAATGGAGTTTGCACTATCCCAAGAGGGAAGCATCCTGCTTAATAATTCTGGAAAGCATTAGGTTCCAATATTCCATTGCCAAGCATGTCAACTTGGGAGACAGTTCAGCTCCCAGGAGACCCCGCTTACTTCACTCCCCTAAATGGGCCAAAGCTAAACCAACCAACAAGGTGCTTCCTTCCCTTTGGTAATTGTCTGGGCTTTGCTAACTACCTGCATTAGATGACAGCTTTTGAAATATACGCAGTAAAACATATTTTAACTTTTTTTCCAGATCTTCTGAATCAAGGAAAGCTCTTCCATGCTGCTCTGGAAGTGGCTCTGCAGTCAGCAGAAACTCCAAAATCAGATAGTGAGAAGATTGCTGGTTACTTGCAAAGCGTGGAGCACGTCCTGAAAGATGTCAGACGCGTCCAAGTTTTGGAGAGTGCTGTGCATCACCAGCCATTGCAGTATGTGGGGATGGTGGACTGTGTAGCAGACTTTAGGTAACTGAAGTTACATTGATATGTTTTAACATTGCAGCCTTTTAAAACAAATTCTAAACATCACTGCCTTTTTTTGCTTTCATTTCTAATGAAAAGATGTTGGTAGTAAGTGGGATAGCAACGTAATCTAACTTTTGTTTTTGAATGAATTATTCAGGCACAATGCCGTTAACTGCTCAGATCTTTGTGTAACTGCATTTGTCTACAGTTAAATGCAAACATTTGTTTTCCTTGTTTAGTATTTTTCTGAGGTCAGGATGCAGGGAAAACCTTCCCTCCATCTCTTCATCTCCTAAAGATGTTTGATTCCTTCCAGGTACTGAGGTACCATGTATATCAGTCACCCTGTGGTACCTCGCTCAGATGGCTGTTATAAAACTGTGAACCCCCCACAAGATTTCAGATATTATGTATTTGTCATGGAGTCTTATGATTTTCGGGGTAATGCTTTTCTTAATATGGATATGAAATGGATGGTTGCTAACAGTGCTTCCTGACCATGAAATGATGAATATTTGAGATGAGGCAGCTTTCATCCCCTTTCCATTCTGTGATGTGACAGTCTCCTGATAGCTTGGTGCCCTTATGTGAGATCCTACATATCCTTTTTCTTTCTTATTAATTTTTAAGGGGAAAAGAAGTTTCTCGTTGAACTTGAGGACCTCTGAAAATGGGCACAGTCTCATAAATGCTGCTGGAACCTGCACTGCCATTGCATAGAGAATGAAGCAGGGGCTTGTGACAGCGAGGTTATTCAGTTATTTTGATTTGCAACCAGTGACACCTGTATCCCTCCACCTCCCCTAAAAAAGAACAGAATGGTCTCAAGGTTGCAGTAGGGCAGTTGGGGCAACAATTGGCTTCATCACCCTGGTTCAGGAATGGGAAAATCGCTGGTATTCCTATTCCTGATTTCATTCTTATTGACTCCCCCCACCCCCCACTTGCTGGAAAGAGTATGAGTGACTAATGACAAGAGGATCATGCAATACTCCTGTGGTTGAAGAGCCTATCAACGCTCCCTGTTGTGGCTCACACAACTTGGTCAAGGTGCTGGAGTACAAGGAAAAGGGGAACGGGGGGGAAAGCAGACTTGGACTCAACTCTACTTTTTTTTAAAAATCCAGAGGTAAATTATGTGTAATTGACTGGAAAACATCTGAAAAACCCAAACCATATTTGAGGAACACATTTGACAACCCAATTCAAGTGGCTGCATACACTGGTGCCCTCAACCATGACAACAACTATGACTTTCAGGTACAGTGTGTGTGTCTATATATATATATAATAATCCTTGCATTTGATTTAGCACCTCATCACGTCGTTGAAACGTCTCAAAGCCCATCAAGAATATATTGTAAAATGGATTAACTGTATATTTTGTGGTTGAAATGTGGCAGCCAATTGTGCACAGCAGTGTCCCACAAACAGTTGTACAAAAAAATGCATAAACGAGAAAACTTGTGTCCCCAATATGAGGGGGATTTAGTTGGTTTGAAGGGCAGGAAGGTGCAGCAGTGCAGTCATGTATGGTTTTGAACTTCCAATGCACTGTTTTGTGAAGCAGTAATAATATAGTATAATAATCCCTACATTTGATATAGTGCATTATCACATCTCAAAGAGCTTCACAGAAAATACTGTAAAGTGAATTGACTGCATATTTTCAGGGTGAAAACTGATCCGCCAATCGACTTAACAACTGGGTTCCTACTTATTGGTAGGTAAACAGAGCCGTGTGGAGTAAGGAACATTTCGCCATGCCTGGGAATTGAACCCAGTTCCTCTTGCTTGCGAAGCGAGTGATCTAACCACTACGCTACAGGGCTTCACTGTTTGAAAACATAATTTAATGTTGCCAGTCCCAACCTTGCTACTGAGGGGAAGAGAAATGTGGGTTTCAACTTGGGCCTTCCTCCAGCAAACCTAGTATCTGGCTGCATTACTCTCATCTTGAGGCAGCTTATTTGGTTCTCTTCTTAGCCAGATTTGATGCACAGAAAGAAGTGAAAGAGAGGAAAATAAACTCAAACAGCAGGGTCTGTGCTTGGCTCAGTTTGTAGCTCACTTGCCTCTGGGTCAGAAGTTTGTCAGTTCAAACCCTATACTAAGACTTGAGCTCAAAGTATAGACTGACACTCAGAAATGCCATCCTTCAATGTGTTAAGACAAGGTCCCAACTGCCTATTCAGGTGGACATTATCAATGTCCCATGATACTTTTTGAAGTGAGAAGGGGGTTTCTTTCTGGCTGACAGTGTTTAAGATAAATTGGTCATTCAGTTTATACTGTTTGTAAGATCTATCTACAGACAGCTTCTTCACATACAGGTACCTGCAGGTTACCCTAGCTGGACTGGGCCTGAAACCCAAATTTTTTGATTACCGAGGGCCAAAAATTTTTGCGGGCCTGTGTGTAGATTCCTGCTGGCCCATCTCTCCTCATGCGTGCCAACGATGCGTTGAGCAGCCAACGTGATCCCACAGCTTCCCACCTCACTGCCCTTCCTTTGGCATTCGGTGGCCGTGTGGGTTAGTGACTACTTTTTCTATACATTAGTAGAAATGCGTATGCACTGCCAGAAAATGCCAGTAGATGTATTACAGTCATTTATCGGCCCTGCATATGCATCTTTTTACCAGCATTGTAATTACACTTAGCTGGAAATTCTGGCTCATTGGACCGATTCTAACCCCCCCCTCCATTAGTCCAGCTAGCCAGGGTTCATCTGTTTATGCAATGTGGTTGCTGCATTTGCCTGCAGTGACTACGCTCAAAATCAATTAACTGAAATATTTTGAGACATCGACTTTATAGGAATTTGTTTTTAATTTCAGCATAAGATTATTTTGTGAAGCAACTATTTGTATAAGACATAGCTCTCACTGAATTGAAATGGCTTTGGCAGAGAATAGAGAGGATGCATGGCCCCTGGAGAGCTTAAGAAATAACATTTTAATTTGAGCTAAGTATGTTTTTACTGCTGTGTTTTGCTTTGTTTTGTACCTTTACTCAGAGGTGAATGATTGCTAAGTGACTGGTGTGTTTTTAATCCTTCAGGTTCAGCATGGACTGATTGTAATTGCGTACAAAGATGGTTCCCCAGCGCACCCCCACTTTATGGACTCTGATCTGTGCCTCAAGTACTGGCAGAAGTGGCTGCTTCGGCTGAAAAAATATAAAGAGAAGATCAGCAATACTTTATGATGGGGAGTTTAAGCAAGAAACCAGCATCTGCTGAAAGAGTCTTGTACATGTACATTAGTAATACAGTTGGATCCCAAAAGCATGTTGCTTTATTAAACATCGGTGACTTAAGTGGCGATTTTCATTTGAACAGTCTGGTTAGTACTGTACTTTTTAAATTGCCGGTTTTATATTTCTGTAAGCGAAATATAAAGTATTTGTATAGTAATACTGGCTGCAGTTATCTTTTACTGCATTGCTGATCATGAGGGCTGACCTAATAACCCAATATTATTATTACATGTCTGAATTCAAAAGCAACTGAATGAAGCACATATTTTAGAATCCAGAGTGTGAGTTCCATCTTACCTCAAGGTTATTCGGATGAAAAATACATCTCATAAAAGAAAATCACTGCCTTTCTTACCTTGTGTGGTTGTAGATACATTTCTAAAGTAAAAGTCAGTCTGAGGTATAGTGTTGCAAATTCTGTCTTGGTTTTTAACTGGACAGATCCTTGCATTGTGTTTTTTCCAAGTGCTGAACTGTTCCTATAACTAACTGCTCACCAGAATAGAATTGTTACTGTAAATGGTGGCTTATGCTTACTAAATATACTAAAGATTCAGTTTATCTGCTGTTCGAGTTTTCGTAATGAGAGCAAGCGTTTTCCCAATAGACTGTGTCATAGCTCCTCCTGCTGGACAACCAATTATATTACATATGCTAAAATGGATGATATCGAGTGTCTCTGAAGTGTGAAGTCCGAATTGTGAAGGTGCGTGTACTCAAACACAAGGGACAGTTACCATAGGCAGGGTGGGTTTATTGAGTTTATCTTCTCAACTTAACATAGTAGCTTGCATTTTAAGATAATGACGTGCTCCATAATGTACATGGAGGACATGTTATACCAAACCCATGTCTTGCTGTTCAGATGGATATTAAGGATCCCATGGCACTATTTGAAAAGAGAAGGGAGTTTCTCTTGGTGTCCTGGCCAACAGCCCCCCAAATGAAAATTGGTCATTCACTTCATAGCTGTTTGTGGGACAATGATGTGTGCATATTCGCTACCACGTTCCACTACAAACAGTCACTGCACTTCATAGTAAAATCCTTTGAAGCGCTTTGAGACGATACAACATGATAAGGTGATATACCAAATACAAGGATAGCCTCCCCCTTACAGGCAGAAACTGTTTGCTTTCCATCTGCAGTCTGTTGATTCTATATGTCTATAACATCAGCAAAAGTGAAGTAGGTTTCATGAGAAAAATAGATACTGGCAGAATCAGCATGTTGATCATCCTAAAGATACCAAGGAATAGTCAAAGTGATTCTACAGGTTCAGCACATGACAGGTAGGGTGTGGTCACTGAAAAACATGACATACCCATCAACACCCAAGTGACTCCAAACATTTTGAATGAAAATGTCAACTTGATCATGACTGCAATTCTTTCAATGCCTCCAACAACAATGAATATAATTTAATTGTTTTATTGTTCATGCATTTTGATCAGGTGTAGTGTGTCGAAAGAGTATTCTTGCAAGCGTTTTCTGGAAGAAGTCATCCAGATATGTTCTCAAAGCTCTAACAGATCTTCAAAATGGCTATTTTTACAAGTTAGGAGCTTGAACATAGACTCAGTTGCAGCTCAGGGTTTCTGGACTCTAGGAAAAACAGATTGCTAAAACGTTATTGCTGGAAAATAACTTTCGAGGATGTGATTCAAGTATATAAAGGCTGGGAACATTGCCAGGTGGTGGATGAACCCAGTACTGACATTGTAAATATATCACAACCCAACCCAGTATAATCGTGCCTAGTGCAAAGCTCAAGCAAAAGTTCTGCTATAACAATGGTGCATTTCAAAGGCAAGGATACAGGAAGTACCAGTTAGGCCAGTGGGTCCCGGCTACCTGAAGCAACACAAATCATATGCTCATGGATTTTGGTCTGGATGTAGTAATGTGTAAGCTCTGCCATATGAATTATGTGGTCAGGAAATCTTGTCTGCAGGTAGGTCAGGTTCAATCTGCAAACACGGTAAGACCATATTGTGAGTTCAAAGAATGCTCAATACATCAGATTTACTGGACCATAGGCTTGATTATCTCCTGGAGTAATGAACTGCTCTCAAAAATGTTGCACAGATAGCACCTATGAACCTATCCAGCAGGGGGAAGAAATGGTATAAGACCAAAAGTTAAAATGTTCTTTTACTGCAGATTTCAAGATGCATTGCTATTTTGAAGCCTCTAATTGGCTAGAAATCACACTTCAGTATGTTTGAATATTTTGAACTTATTATGAAATAAATGAAATCATAATCCAGAGATTTAGGTAACTGTTGATTGAACAATGTTTTTTGTTTCTCAATTTTTATTTTCATTGAGAAATTGAGAACCATTAGTTGTCAATTGTTGGAAAAAGTATCTGGATGCACGTTTAAAGAAGTTTGGCTTGTCAAGCAGCAACTGGCTTTCAGAAACATCCTATCTGGCAACGGCGAGTATTGGCCTGTCAGCAGATTGTTACTAATGTTCAATTTGGTTAGGGAGCAGTTAGGCATAGGCCCTGGAGCCTGTTCTACACATGAGTCATTGTTGTGTATGGAGCAGTCAAGCTTCCAATAATGAGACAACCACAACTCAGGCTCGCGCTGCCCATTCAACTCTTCTCATCTGCCTGATTTGTAGGTACAAATGTGTAGTAGGAGTGGCCATTAACTCAGTAATTTGGTGTTTGCTCCAACAATGACCAGACTGCTTGACCCAAACAACAGGGTCGGCTAGCTGAATTTTTGTCTTGAGCTCTTGCAATATGCTGATGGCTCACAGCAAGGACAGAGTAGTGCAATGTTTAATATAGTTAGTTAAGACACCCAAACTTCAGAGCTCCACCATCACAGGTTTCTAAAGCAGATTAGATCAAGGATTTGAATAGTCATTAAATTGCACTGAAGCAGATTAAACTGGGCAGGACATAAAGGAGTTTTGGTACAGAATCTTTCTATAAAATCTTGCTACTTCAGTCATCCTAGCTCAGTTAGTAGTGCTGTTGTCTTTGAGTCAGAAGGTTATGGTTCAAGCCCCATGTCAGAACATATAGTGTTTCATTGTCTAAGCTGATACTCCACAGCATTACTGGGTGTACTGCATTGTTAGCGATGACATCCTTTGGATAAGACATTGAATCAAGGTCCTATCTACCTGGTCAGGTGGATATTAAAGATCCATGGCACTATTTAAAAAGAGAGGAGTTTCTCCCAGGATACTTGCCAACAATTCTCAAGTTAAAATTGTCATTCACTTCAGAGCTGTTTGCGGGACATTGCTGCACACAAATTGGTTGCCATGTCATACAAATACAGAATGCTACACTCTGCAGTAAATCCTGAGAAACACAGAGATATTTTGACAACAATAAGGATTTATATAGCGCCCTCCACGCCGGACAGCATCTCAGAGCGCTTCACAGTAACGGATCCCAGGGCCGAGGGAGGGGGAGAAAGGTGACCAAAGGCGTGGTCGAAAAGGTCTTCAACAGAGACCTGAAAATAGGAAGAGATGGGGCGATGCGAAGGGAGTGAGGAAGCGAGTTCCAGAGCCTCAGGGCGTAGTGGCTGAAGGCACGGCCGGCAAGGGTGAAGCAGAGGACTAGGGGGACAAGGAGGAGGCCAGACTGGAGGAACAAAGGCAACAGGCATTGTTTTAAGGAGAAATCAGAGAGGTAGGGGGGTGTAGAGGAGTGGAGGGATTTGAAGACAAGGGTGAGGATCTTGAAGTCGATCCTCTCTGGGACAGGCAGCCAGTGCAGTCTGGCAAGCACTGGGGTAATCGGGGAGTGAAGTTCGGTGCGGGTGAGAATGCAGGCGCCAGAGTTTTGAATAATCTGGATTTTATGAATGGTAGTGGAGGGGAGGCCGGCAAGGAGGGTGTTTGAATAGTCCAGCCGAGAGGTGACAAAGGCATGGACCAGGGCTTCAACGGCACTCGGAGAGAGGTATTGGCGGAGACGGGCGATGCATCAGAGGTGGAAGTGGTGCTGGTGAGGGACCGGATGTGGGGGAGGAAGGATAATTGGGGTTTGAAGCTGATGCCTAGGTTGCATACGGGTTTGGAGTTTTAGGGGGAGGTCGGGTAGGTGGAGGTGAGAACCGTGAGATTTTAGATGTTTTTAGACATGGTGATAACATGCTGTATCAAGTGCAAGGATTGTTATTACTTCAACAATACATCTTTGTCATGTCCAGGGTAGAGTTCTGATACAGCAAGAGAGGAGAGAATGAGTATCTCTGCCTAAGATGGTAGCATGGTGACTTAACTATAGTCTCACCAGTATTAAGTGGGACCAGCTATCTCAGCCCATCAGTCGCCCTTGGGCAGGCTGCAACTAAAGCAATTGATTTGTCCTATTATAAGCTTTATTGGTGGAGTATGTCATTACCAACAAGTGAATCTGGCTCATTCTTGAGTTGATGATTATTAGCTCTGACATAATTCACCTATAATTATGCATGACTCATTCAATTGTATTCTGCAATAGATCTATTGGTACCAATTCACTTTCTCACCATCGCTTCTCTTCATGTGGCTGTTATCATTAAATAATGTCACTTCTCCGCAAATTTGCTACGGATATTAGCCTCTTCCTCTGTCTTCCAAAGCATTGACCATCAAAGTTTTTTTTGACTCAGTCAGTCTCAGTCTTTTTACTGTGCCTTCTAGCAAGTGGAAAATCAAATCAGCCAGGGTCTCCCCACTCCCAATAGCTATTTGGTGATCCCTGCTGGAAAGTTGAAATGTGTAGATGTTGAGTGAGGACAGAATAGAGCTCAGTCTGCCAGCACTCACTGTCAAGAGTCACACATGAACAATGGCCATTAGGTTGAGGTTCCTATGTTACTAATAGATCCTGTAAGACAAATCCCCCCACCCCTGGAAATGTGAAAAAATTATGAAGGAGAGGAAAATAAATTATCAAGGGAACAAGCATTTATAGATTAAAAAAAAATACACAATGAATGTGAATTAGTAATATAAAAGTATTTTTTACAAGGTTCAAAAGAGTTGCATAACACCCATTTGGAATGTCACGCGTTAAATTATCATTATTTAATATTTCCAAATTTTGCACATCAAAGTAAGAGATACATTACTGCACTCTGCCAGTTCATGATGTTTACATGACGTGCACCTTTTTTTCCCACTTCAGAACAGGCATTAAATATATGTTCCAGTCTGCAGCATACATACCCTGCACCAATGCTCAAAAATAATAAACTTGCAGAATACATGCACCTGCAAAGAAATAAAGCTGATAAAAAAAGTTGGAAAAATCCCAGAATATCCTTAACCCTTTAAAAATATTCGTTCTGTGAATTGTGTGACATTTCTGCAGTATGAAGGCTAACTTTTCCCAGCAGGTGTGGTCACCTGGTAACAAAGCCTCTTTTTGATCCAGTGAATGAGCTTTCTTTCCATCAGTTCTGTTTCACAGGACCGATTTGAGTTTGTTTTGAAGGGATGCAGTTATTTTTTTGGAAGTCTTTTTAAGTAATGGATTTTCAGGGTGGTTTTGCTTGACGTGAAGGTACAGATCCTCTTGGCTTATGGCTGTGAACCCACATTCTTCACAGACGTAAAGCTTTGTTCTGCGTTCCTTGTAACTGTATTTTGTGTCACCCCATGAATCTTCTTCAGATGTGATTCCAAGGAGCATCTTTGAGTAAAAGCTTTGTTACAAAGGCTGCATTTATAAGGCCGAATTCCTGCACAAGAGAAGCAAAATGCTGTCAGTTGGCTAGTTGACTTTGACAGAGGGGTGAAATCCCTCTGGCTGCCCCTCATAGTGATTACCAATATGACCACTTTGAAGAAGTTGTTGTAGCCTCCCTGGTCTGGGGTGCTGAAGCCCAACAACAACTTGCATTTATATAGTGCCCATCACGCAGGGTATCCCAGAGTGCTTGACAGTGGTGGAACACGACTCCAAGCTGGGAGGAAGGGGAGGTGACTAGGCACTGTCCAATAGGAAGATCTTCAAGCGTGACCTGAAAACGGGGAAGGGAGTAGGTGGAGGGATAGAGGAAGAGCGTTCCAGAGTTTCGGGGCGGAGTGGCTGAAACCACGGGTGCTGATGGTGGAGCGGAGTCTAGCACGGGTGAGTGTACAGGCGGCAGAGTTTTCGATCACCGCCCGGACCGCTGCCCAGCTGAAAATGAAGACACTCAAGGCGGACAGGGAATAGAACGCGCGAAACCTTGCGGCTTCTACAACCGCTGTTACCGATTGGTGCCTTTACACATTCCCCGCAGGGTGTCTCTAATGGCCTTGACTTGCAATAAGCAATACGCCCCCCTCTCCCCCACCCCACCCGCTCTGCCTAGGTACAGACTACAATCCCCACGCTGCTGTGCGCCATCGGTGAGCCCACAGACCTGTGTGCGTCCTGACGTGTCGCTTGAGGTCGAAGGTATCGTTGAAGCCTTTGCCGCAGAAGGTGCACAGGTGGCGCTTCACCTGGCTGTGGCACTTCAGGTGCCGGTTGAGCATACGCTGCAGGCGGAAGTCCTTGCTGCACACCTGGCAGCGGAAGGTGGCCTCGCCGCACTCCCCCGTGGTGATCTGTTACAAGAGGAGTGCAGGCACCGTTACGCATCCAGCCCTCTGACCCCCAGCCCTCTGCCCCCCTGCACTTTGCAACGCCTTTCACCGACTTAGAAAATCGCTCCACTTTTTTTTGGAAGGCAGGAGGGGGTAATTAAAAGATAATTAAAATATTATGTGTGGGGGGGGGTTTAGATGTAAAGATTTTGTGTTTAACTGAAACGTATTAAAGCTGGTGTCCACGAGTGTTTATAAAGAGCGTGTGGATCGGTTGATTCGTTTTAATCGCTACACGTGTACGGTCAGTGGTGGTGTAACGGTGATGTGTGGAGGCGCCGCTGGTCTTTGTTGGTGTGTGTATGGACTAAGCACATTGGCCGCACTCGCCGACCCTTCAAACTGCAAAAGGTTTGTTGCAAAGAAAGCTTCCTACACACAGCACAGGGCATTTGTCGGTTATGCCTTTTTTTTGGGGGGGGGGGGCTGGGGATGTGGGGAGCACCGTTTCGTTTGCTCCATTTGGGATGCATGAATACACTGGCAACATCCTTACTTTGGTTCCATTTCAATTTACACGTGTGAACGGGTTTTATTTTACTCTATCTTATTCTAATACTGAGTACACGTGGAGAGCTTGTTCAGGGAGGTTGGTTGGGTTTGTGCATCACCTATTGTGGCTGTTGACTGCTATAATTATTAACTGAGGTATGAAGGGCAAAGCTGACAAGTTTTCAGCTCTGGGGGGTTTTTCTCCGCTCCGTTGCCTACCTTGATTTTCGAGCGCCCTACACTACGCCTTTCCAACTCCGTTTCCAAAACTCGTTCAGCCGCATTCTCCTGGTCCGGTTCTGCCTTGCAACCGTGGCGCAGATCGGCTGCGTTCGCACATCTGTCCGACCGCGCTGTCCCAGCTGTCGCCTCCTCGATCTCCCCTTCGCCGTAATTCGAAAAGCAGCCTAAATTCACTGCGCAAAAACAAAATTAAAATCGCTAAATAAATAAATCAGTTAATCAATGAATGAAACTGATAAGTAAGTAAGTAAGTAAGTGAGTAAATGCATCGCCCAGGGAATCCGTCGGTGCAAACCGAAAGGTGTTAGCGCTGGAATGAAACCCTGGTGCTGTTGTGTGCCTTTTGTAAGCAGAGAGGTTGGGCTGCACACAATGGCTGGGAGAGAACTGAACCTTGGCTGAGGGTTACCTGGCTTCAAAGCTGCTCTCAATCACAACCCCCCCCCCCCCCCACCCCAGGGAGGAATCCAGCACTGGGGAAAACTTTACAACCCTTGGCAGGTGGGGGAGAAAAAAAAAAAGGTCTGTTACTCCCGTTCCCGTTATGTTCACACTTGGACCCGTTGAAATAGGGGAGGGGAGGGGAGGGGAGAAGAAACACAGGCGACCTTAACGTGGGAAAGGTCGGTGGAGCATTCTCTGTCTGGTTGTTACCCTCTAACAAGTTGATAAGTGATTGAATCAAAGAACATAGAGTTCTCTGTGATATAAACACAGGCTGTCCTTTCACGGACAGGTTGCATTTATATTACAGAGCATCCTGGATTTTGAAGAGACAGAAAACGTTACTTTAACCCCTTCTCCTTCCTCCCCTCCTCCCCCCCCACTCTTTATTTTTTTTATTTTTAAAAAAAATCAAGTGTTTTTTTTTAATTCCAAGGTCCCGAATGAATGGAATGAAATAAATCGATCGGTTCCCCTTTGGGCTTCGCTGAAATGAATGACACTGAGAGATGAGGAGGTGCAATTTTTTTTAAAAAAAAGAAAAACAAACACAGACAGACAGACAGATAGACACACAACACACACACAACACACACACACAACAGGTTGGACCTTGCAATCGAGCAAACCCAGCCCCGAGGAGAGGGTGCATTGAGCAAAGGCTGACAAGTCTGAGCCGGGCACTGCTGTGAGATCCAGGAGAGAGGGAGAGAGAGAGAAGAGAGAGTAGAGGAAGAGAGAGAGAGAGTAGAGAGTGGAGAGAGAGAGAGAGTGAGAGGAGAGAGGGCGCAGTCTGAACTTTGAGCGCCTGATATCACCTTTCCCGTACGCACACCCTTTGCCTCTTCCAGGAACTTTTAACTCCAAAGTTGCAAAGGTTAACGCCACCCCCCACCCTCCCTCCCTCCCTCCTCTCCCTCCCCTCCTCTCCCTCCTCTCCCTGTGTGTGTGTGTGTGTGTGTGTGTGTCTCCCCCCCCCTCCAGCCCTGGTTTATTTGAACGGTTGCCCTTCACCTGGTATGTAGGTATCCGCTCTTTCTTCATCCGGCAGCTCTGCCCAATTGCGAACTCCTAAATAAGGCTCTTTTCTTTTCACCAGGAATGCTCTGGGCATAGTGAGGAAGAGGGGATCGATCCCCCTCCCTCTCCCTCTCCCTCTCTCCCTCTCCCTCCAGCACTCGGATCGGATCCTCCTCCACCCTCCACCCTCCACCCCACCAGGAGCAATCCCGAGGGTTCAGGTGGTTTTTTTTTGCTCTCCGTGGAAGATCTCAGCGGCACTTCCGAAGTCCTTGTGTGCGCTGTTTAAACGGGTGCAAAAGAGGAGGAGGAGGAGGAGGAGGAGGAGGGAGGGAGGCACCTCTCACCTCGAGATCCACCTTTGGAGTAACAGGAAAAGTTTGCTTAAGCGAAATTGAAAATACAACAGGAAATTTGGGAGGACGCATGCGTGCTGAGAAATAACGGTGTCAACAAGTTCTGGTACCTGTCCGACCGGTTGGTGCAGGTTGTCTGAGTCCCTGCCCTTGTGCAGAAAAAAAAAACCCATGTTTGCAAAACTCCCAACTATGCAAAACCTTACAGAATATGCCTCTTCACACATCCCGCTCGCCCCGGGTGCTCACGAATCCACTGGAGGGGGGAATGTACAGGATTAGAAAGGATTTCAATCCCCACTCCCTTTTTCCCCACCACCACCACCACCAAAAAAAAAAGAGAATTAACACGTTTCCAAACTCCCCTCTCTTTTATTTAAAAAAAACCCTCATCGAAGGGCAAACGCGTTTGCTTTGCAACCAGGGAATTGTGATTGCAACTCGACGCTGCGGGTGTTAACATTGCACTGCTCCTCTTTTTCCCAATTGCTTGTAGTTAGGATTGTGTGCAGTTGCTGGAGAGAGAAAAAAAGAAAGGTGTGTGTGTGTGTGTGTGTGCAAAAAAAAAACGCCTGGAGGCTCTTTGCATACATTCGACACCCCTTTACCTGAGAGGATGAAACCTGAGATCTTAACCGTTTGTGCAACGTGGACACAACGTGAAGTTGGAAGGGATGGAAACGGTTGTAGTGTATATATTGTGTAAAGTCGGCAGTGATTGTGGAGTTAACGACACTCGCGGTTTAACAGATTTGACTGCAAATCCGTTCACCTTTTTTTTTCCAAACTTGATGAAACTTTTACTTCCGTTACCTTGGAAAGGATTACGTGTAAAGTTTTCATTTGCACACACACACACACACACACACAGACACAGAGAGACACACACACACACAGACACACAGATACACACACAGACACACACAGATACACACACACACACACACACACACACAGAGAGACACACAGACACACACAGACACACAGATACACACACAGACACACAGACACACACACAGATACACAGACACACAGATACACACACAGACACAGACACACACACAGACGCACAATTAAAATCGATCCGTTTGAAACGATCCAGTGTTTTTCTTAAATGCAGCAATTGGGGTTTATGCAAAGCGGTCCCCCCCCCCCCCCACACACACACACACACACTGAGCGCTGTAAAGGGCAGGTTCTGTTACAGCGCGATGATATCAGTGAAACTCGCTGCACCCATCATTAGAATAACACACAGACGATCTCCCTGTACTAATCTAATCACTGTACTACCAGGAGCCACACACTCACTCACTCACTCACTCACTCACTCACTCACACACGCCTGACTACCTGCTCATTTGTTTAGCGAATCGCTCCAGGTTTTGCCTGATATCTTGTACCCATCAATTAGTTGTGGGCAAAACATTAACAACCCATATGCGCAGTTTCCTTTTGCAAATCACACTTCTGGATGATGATGATGATGGTAATAATATCAATTGCAAATTTCAAGTGCTTTCGCATCATCTGAACGGTGTGTGTGTGTGTGTGTTTTTTTTTGCTGAATCTAGATTTAACTCCACTGGTTGAGGCTATGGAAGTAAAAGGTGTGAAATCGTGCAGCACTTTTTTTTGGCTTAGTAACGGTTTCACCAACTCACTTGAAACCACAGCTCCCATCACCATTTGCATCTCGGCACACTTTATCATTCAAACCATTTTGGTTCTTCGTTCACTTTAGGCATTGACTAATGCACGATTTGCCTTTGGGGGAAGATATATATATATACCAATATACACCAATATGTTATTGATGGTCAGTTAGCATTGCTGACACATATATATATGCAATGCTAACTGACCATCAATAACATATTGGTGTCATTTCTGGAGGGTTCTGGACAGGCAGTTAGAATCCAGGCTGTGACTTTCCTGTTATTTCTGGTCAATTTCAGACAGTGAATCCATTAAACGTTTTAGTCCTCCAGTCATTGGCGACGCAAAAGCAATAAAATCCAAAGCTAAGTGAACCTTTTATTTTAGTCAGATTGAAGTTAAGCAACAGGAGCGAGAATAACATCGTGCTGCAGTTTGTCATCGGTTTGTAGTGATTTCCTGCAAATGTTCAGCGCAGTATTGAGAAAAGATTAAACAAAGAACTTTAAAAAGAAACGCGTTCTCCATAAATCAATCTGAAATCATCAAAAACACCCACAAAGGGGAGGGAGGCTCAGCTCTCTGGAATCTTATACAGCTAATAGCACGAATTATATACACAAATGGATACAGTATGAGGACACCACCAAAATAACTACCTTCAATAGTCATTATTTATAGGTGGGGTTATGTGGAAAGCGGAGGATTGCAATACACTGCATTAACTTGTTCAGATAATAAATGTTCCCACCCCTTAACCTACAAAAAATAGATGTTTCACAGTGAATTAGAGGTGTAAGGTGTGTTGGAAGGTGCCTGCTTGAAGATGGCTGCTTGTTTGGAAATGGCCACTGAGAATGACAGTGCAGGAAGTTATTATTTGCTGTGAGAAACATCCCAAACAGTCAGGTGGATAAAACAAGGGTGTGACCTTTTGTGTTTCTGAGGGTGTTGACACTAATTCCCAAAGACTGCTTCAAATGAATTAAATACATCAGTCAATATAGCACAAGTTACTGATATATTGAATAAACATACAACTCTATAATATTTTATTTGGCAGTTTTTGCTTGTCGAAGCTCACCACATGAGAATCTGGATTAAATCATTGGTACAGAGCATGCCTGGAGCACATTGGACTTGGGCCCAAAGAACATCATGGTGACTGTCATGTCACAGGAATCTGTATAGGTTCTCCCACCATGCTGAAGGCAGATGTTCGTTGAATATTCAATGAGGAAACTCGGAGGCTTGGGACTAGAGCTACTGGAAAGTGTTACCTGGGGTCCAGTTTGGGCTCTGGAACAACAACAGATTGCATTTATATTATGTATATTACGTCGTGAGGATGTAACAACTGCACCTCCAACTGGAGGAAGCAGTGCTCAGTGTGTAGGGATACCTGTCCAAACTGTGGGAAGGAAGGTGGTGACAGTGTTCTCATGCATTTTAATGCTCAGCTGTGTTGCTCCCCAGGAAGCTCACAGATTTTGTGTTACCTGCCATCCACCTAGTGAGAGCTGAAACCTGCACTTGTCGGATGTCAATGACATGGCATCATGCATATGTTGAACCTTCGCTCTGGCTTGGATACACTTAAGCAGGGCAATGCCTTTGTGTGTATCAGACATCAGGCAGACCCCTCCAAAAAAATATCTTGTGGTACTGAGACATATAGATTGTTAAGGTCTCAGGGGTGATCCTTGATCTGTGCTGAGTTAGCTAATCTCATGCAAGTGAGTTGTTAGGGTTCTTCAACTGACCTCAGCATCCCTAGGTAGGAGGGAATCAGTGTTTCCTCTCCACCATGCCCCTCCCCTCCTTTTCTGCTAAATGCACATGTGAAGTCATTGGGTAATAGTCTCGCCCACAAAATATACTGTCAATTCACTTTACAGTGTATCCTCTGAAGCGCTTTGATACATCTCAACAATGTGATAAGGCACTACATCAAATGCAAGGTTTATTATTATTAGTAGTAGTATAGTTGGTTTGGTTTTGATGCTCTTCTTCTCTCGCTAAGCAGGCTGCCTATCTGGACTCACACATAAGAATGACCTTTTACGGGAGAGGTTGAAAAGCTCCTGTGTCTTAAAACTGTAGCTCAGCAGGAAGTCGGCATCTTCACAAGAGGGGAGGAAAACAGAGAGAAAAGTACAAGGACAACAAGTTATAAGATTCACTCAGATATCTTTTCATTCAATGGCGTTATTCAGGATCAGAAAATGGTTTATCAGTGATTCCGAGCGCCCTGACAATTCATAAATAAGGACTAAAGAGTAAGTATACACAATACAGGACAACTAGCTTGATAATAGAGATTGTCTTTTTTTAAAATATATATTTATTTATAAATATATTTAGTACAACAGAAATCCAAAAAAATCACATTTTCTATTACAATTTTTTCCTTTTCTCCCGATATGAAAACATCCATTGTTTACAGTACATTCCTTCACTGCACAAGGTTGCACACATGTTTTTGGGGATGCTCCCGTTAATACAATTGGGAGTCGCCCCTATGTATATCACATTCATGTGTGCACCTGCGCACACCCTGATAAGGTGAGATTGCGCCTGAGACTCAGGTGTACAATATTTAAAGAAATCATTGTGTTCTCAATGGGAACTTACATTTTTGTAGCATCTCAAATCCCTTTACAGTAATTCATTGTCAAGTTTAGTGACTGTTTTTGTAGGTAAATGCAACAAAAGCAGCCATTTCATGTGCAACAAGGTCTCACAGCTTGAAGTAAATGATTAAGTAATTTAGAGGGTTGTTAAATAGTGTACTGGAAGAATCTCCCTTCTTTTTTGAATAATGCCATGGGACCTTTAACATACAGCTGAAGAACAGGCAGATGGGACCTTGATTTAACATCTCATTCTAAAGAATGCCACCTCCGACAATGCTGTTCTTCAGTAGCTCCTCTTTGGAGAGTTATGACTGCAAGCTCAAAATCACGATGTGGAGCTTGAATCCAGAACCATCCAATCTTAAGGCGATACATGGGGTCAACTTCCATATGTATGCGGATGACACCCAACTCTATCTTTCTGCATCCACCCTCAACTCCAGAACCACTGCTGTCCTGACAGACTGTCTGTCGGACATCAAGTCCTGGATGAGGGCAAACTTCCTGCAGTTGAATGTGAACAAGACTGAGGCCCTCCTGATTGGCTCACACCAGCGCCTCAGCACCTCAGGCTCTGGCAGCATCAACCTCCATGGCTGGTCACTACAACTCACCAACCCAGTCAGGAACCTGGGTGTCTTGTTCAACCCTCAACTGTCTTCTTCCCCACATCAAACCCTTGACCCGCTCTGCCTTCTCCCACCTCCGTAACATCGCCCGACTCCGCCACTACTCACCCCTCAGGCCACTGAAACTCTTGTTC